ACATACGGTATTGAACGAATCAGCGTTCGCTCTTCGTCACTGTAGGATTACTGTAGGAACTTCGACAAGGATTTTAGGCCATTGGAAGCCATATTCTGTTTCGAAACAAAACCATACAAGCCAAAAACCCTTGTACTATAGTAATGGAAGCCGCTGAATTCGAATATGGAATTCCCACTTTAATGTGATGCTTCTTTCCCAAGTTATCCCAGGTAAGCCGTAATAACCGAATTCTCAGTATTTGTCAGAAATGTGGTTACACCGTTAAAAAAGCTGAAAACACTCGTAAAAAGTTGTAAAGTGGAATCAGCGTGCACGAAAACCCTAGTACACAAACTTTCAGATTTTTTGAAAAAAATTTTGTCAGATGGCATATTTCACGATGATTTCACATGCTGGAATTCCTTACCATAATCCTACAGTAACGAAAAGCAATCAGTGATTCGATCGATACTATAAATCTAAGTTGAGGCCTCCTCTACAGAATGGCACTTGACTGGCCAGAAAAGACCCATTGGGAAGGGAGATATTGACGATTGAAAAGTGTGTACTTACTTTTGGGACACCCTGTATATTAGAGTGAAGAAGTGATGTGCATGTACGAGTGTTCACGAACCCAAAAACAATTTTATGGTTTCGAAAAGCCAAAAATAGCATCCATTTGGGAATAGCAAACGGGTAAACAGAAATCTACAGACACATATGTATGCGCGCGTCACTACCGAAACATGATGAAGATTTATAATTTTATGTTCGACATCAACGCGAACGTCATGTCCCCGAGGAGCTGTCCATATCGACATTTGGTGAAATGAAAGGCTTAACGATGAAAAAACGAAGCGACGAAGAGCTGTTGTGATGAAGCCGGATTAGCTGTTCGAAATGAAGACACTGTGATATCATCGTTCGGAAGATGTTCGTGAAAAACCCTTTCGTTATGGAAACGCTACTTCATAGTTTTTTTCCACAGTTATAAGTTCCCTTGCTGGTGATAATCAGGGTCAAGCAAGGAGTGTGGCACACGATCGCTGGTTACGACCCTCCCCCCCCCTGATTGCTGTCTTAATAAGACCCCCCCCCCCTGAACTATATACCTAAGATAGCATTACCAGAGTTGAGTAAGAGGTCAGGCACAAGTCTTTCGAAAACAACCCCCCCCCCCCTCCCATGAAAGCTCTCAAACGACCCCTTCTTCCTCCTCTTAACCTCTGGACCTCAATTGTGACATTCTGGAGGACACCAGCTTTTTCTAGAGAGTCTTCAAATTTCTGAGAGCTGTACGCCCGATTTTCTGTGGCTGCACTTTACAATCACACGTAATTTGACGGCTGATTTTGATCTGAATGGGCATATTGAAAGGGCCATAATTTTCTTATGGGTGGGGCGTTCGGCTCCAAATTTCCAATGTAGCAAGAAGAAGCTATGTGCTTAATACTCATACCAGCAATGGAGCGCTTTCTGGATTTTGAAGGCAAGTTAAGGGGGTGCGGCACACCCCCTTAAAAGCTGCGGCAGCCGCAGCTTTTAAGGGGGTGTGTCGCAACCCATTAACTATATCAAAAAAACATTTTTAGCGGACAGTATTTATATGAATCGATAGCCTAAACCTTGTAGATTCCATAGGACTGTTTGAAGCCTGATTCGTCTTCTTAGCTCTGAGTAATATTTGGTGAAAGCACAGCGATCAAAAGCGAAAAGTGGGAAAACGAGATTTTGGTTGGTTTCTAATTCCACAGTTTGCAGGTCTTCTGAAGCGGGATTCCTGAGGTAGACAAAGAAGGAGTAGTGCTTTGTCTTGAGTGCAAAAACGAATAGCTAATTCACCTTTCAAACAAAGTTAACCTTGTCGGGATTTGACCATTTCATTTAGGTAGCCTAGTATCTTGAATCTTCAGAATTCGCTCACACTTTGCCTACAGGGGTTAATTAACATGCTAATTATGGATATGATACAAATATCATGTTATCACTATTATCAGATTATCCAACTACGACCCCCTCCCCTTTTGACTCCTCAATACGACCCCCCAGGTGTGGTGTGCCGCACCCCACGCTTGACCCTGGTGATAATATTAGGTTATAAAGAAAGTTCCCGGGCAGTTGCAAAAATTTTTTTTGTAAATAGCTGTAACTTCAAGCGGATTGATTCTTTTTTGAAGCTACAATCATTACAAAGACAATTTTGTCCACAACATATACTTGTCTTGCTGGCTTTTCAGCACTTCGCTGCGGTCCCCCAGCATGCGCAGGAGGGAAAAAGGTCGTTGCGAAAAGTGGCCTATTTGTGCTGGATTTTCTCAAACATTATGAGAGCTGGAGAGCCCAGATGCTGTAGTTATATAGAGGTCTGCTGGGGCTGTTATGGGGACCATTCATGTTTTTGAAGGACCACCTGCAAAAAAAAATTTCCCTGGAAAGTTTAAAAAATCGACCATTTTTTGACCCTAAAAATGCACCATTTTTTGAGTAAGTGACTTTGAAGTCTTCTAGTTCTGCACAGAAATCACCAAATCTTTGATTACTGGGAACATTGTTGGGGTAATGCCTTGTACACCTTCTGGACCCATCGTGCAGGCGTGGCGATACCCGCAGAAGCGACGCCAGCTGTGAAAAGAGTTGCAGTCAGAGGCAAGTTCGACAGCTTGTAACTTCTGAGCGCAAATCGCAAAACTCGAGTGCAGCTGCGTTTCAGAAGTTAACAGCCTTGCCAATCAAATCACCCATGGTTTGAACGAAATTCTTTGAACCGCACAAAAAAATGACCGTAGGAAGAAAAATTGTGAGATTTTTGTGGTTAAAAAGATCTCCCTTCTTGACGTTCAGATCAAACACGTCTTGGCATTAATAAAAGTCAAACGGCTTATTAAAAACTTCAGGCTTCCCTCTACTGAACAGTGTAAAAAACTTGGTGTCAAAGTCCGACCAAGCGCCGAAAAAATGCGTTTGAAAATGAAATTTCCAAAAGTGCCCGGGAACTTTCTTCACAATCTAATAAATCTTTACTTTGGAATTAAATGCGGCTTCAACTGATTGCTTCGCTTATAAGCAAACCAAACCTATCCCCCCCCCCCACAGAAGCTAAATCCTGACTAGAGGTTGGGGGGGGGGGGGGGGGGGGAGGGGGGGGGGGAGATACGTGGACACCTTTGTGGGAACTGATTCAAATACCTTGACTATGTCTTAGCCATGCGCCAACATATAGGTTCAGTCATTTTCAAAAAATTCAACGAACTCCGCCCACACCGTACTTTCTATCCTGCCCAAAAATGCTGATTGGTCCACTCGCAAAGGCGATATCGGAATGAAGAAAGTTAATTTTTTTAGCCAATAATGACGTGACATACCGTCTGAAAAAGCTCTTTAAAGACCCCTAAAGTTTATCTGAAGATATTTGTGTTTAGCAGCTTTTCGTTAGACTCCTGTTACAAATCTTCACAAACGATATTCTCTAGCGATTGGCAACGATCCAGCAACCTTGGCTCAGTGTAGCAACTTTGTCTCGCTTGACTGAGTATGGCTTTCAAGCAGCCCCTTGTCAAGAGTTTAGTTGAAATATTGGAAATTAACATACAAGGTAATTTTTCGTATTTTCCTAAAGCACACCTTATGGTGAAGCAGCTGTTCATTCCAAATTTGCGTCAAAAAAGCACTAGATTTAGAGAATTGGAGAACGAACAAAAACATTTGCGCTGACATTATGCCTATCTTTGACGCAACAGCTCTATCGCATCTGTGCTAAATAAAAACCAATCTCTCTCATTTCGTATTTTTTACAATTCACATAAAGCTGCCTTGAAGGTTAATTTGAGGAGTGAGACAAAATTGAATTACATGAGGTTTTACATGAGGTTTCTGCTTTATTCCTTAGTGAACTTGTATGCGTGTAGTGCTTTTGACTTTTTGCCCCCATGCATCATATCGGGCTAATCTTTACCCCAAAACAGACAGAATACATCCTGCTCCAAGCAACGACCCTTGATCCCAGGCCCAATAAATCCTTTCCATGTGCTTGTTTTCGCGCAAACTGGGTCCACAGTTCATTTTCGCTCCTCTTTGGAATGACTGCGGTGTAATTTTTAGCCATTCGTTATTTTCTCGAGACGGATTACACCTGCTCCGTTGACCCGTCGGATGTTGACTGTTGCTCTTCGTCGGGAACACAACAACTACTAAAAACTCTTGAAAAATTAAGAAAGAGTTGTTATATGTAATTATTATACTAATCATGAAATTGTATCATATATATATGGTCAAGCGTAGCTAACTCAAGTTTGAACTACGTGAAAGACCTTCATTTTGGAAGGGTGGATAGGGGGGATAGAATTTTTTGGACGAGTGACGGCAGCAGAATCTTGAAATGTGATTTATTTTAAGCGGGAGCGGAAAGTATGGGGCAACAGACTTCTTTTCCTGACGGAAAAGAGTGACGATGCCAGACCCCCAGAAATTTTTAACAAAACCAGCATGTATTTTTCTGAAACTTAAAAAGTGTTCAAATAAGTACATTAACAAATTAAAAGGAGCTACTTGCATAATTCTATAAATCATGCATTTCATGTGGACCACTCTATAAATTCAGCCATCGTCGGGGAGGGGGAGGGGATCGCGCTTGCGAAAAATATGAGAGATAACTCAAAAGATTGATCAAAAAGAGAAGCTAATAGCACGCTTCTCCATCTAGGTTCTTGTCTCCCCCCCCCCCCCGTCTCACAAAACTCGTTGAACAAGCAAGGCGCATAACGGTATTTTCGTGTTCAGTATTTTCCAGCAAATGCTATGATAATTTTTTGGATTGCCCATAGAGTAATGTGAATGAGCTGACTTCACAAGATAATTGAGAGCAGAGATCACGTTCGATTCGGAAAAGGGCTTATTTTGTAAGCTTCTGCTAAGATAAGTTTTTCAAAAGTATGTTATTTTATCTACATCTTTTCTGGTCACAGATTGAAATTTCGACTTTCAGTAGGCAAATTTTGACGGACATTGCAAATTCTTCACTCATGCTCTTGTCATCGGACAACAATGATAGATGTAATCCAACAGCTGGAGGACTAGGCTCTAGGTTCGTTGTTGACGATTGATCCTCGGTTTACCTTTGGCCTTTACCAGTATAAAAGAGCTGGTCAACAAGAGCATCGAAAACTGCTTAAGTTCTCTCACTCCTCAAATGTCAGCCTTCACGACGCTGTTCCTGATTTTCTGCGCAATTATGCTTCATTGCACAACATTATATGGTTGGTTCACACTTTTTTCTATCTCATGCCATGCTTTGGGTGGCTAAACTCAACATCATCTAAGGCTTTGTTTTCAGTTCCTAGATCGAAATGGCCGCTTATTCGTGAAGTGAGGTGGCAAAAAAACCACTTTACTTGGAACCTGGACGCAGAGAACCTAAACCTAACGAGTATCAGTGAGTATGACGCTAGGTAAGTTACATTTAACTGCATTCAAAACGATTGTGTTGATAGTGATAAAGAGTCACAAAGGATTTAAATAGACGGTGTTAATTACTGTCTCTCCAACATTTCACCACTATTGGTCTATTTGCTTAGTTTCAATGTGTCTCAAAAGTACGTATGACCATTTGAGTCAACATCTTGCTGCAAGTTTTTGGCTGTTTTGGTTCAGCGGTTGTGGTGGTTTCGCATTACCTCAAACTTGGGTAATTAAGCCTTATCTTTGACAACATCTTTGAATAACAAGAACATGATAGAGGATTATGGACAACAATGTTATAACAATTAACTAGGATGAGCAAGCAACCTACAACAAACCAAAATACTGAATGATAAAAGAAAAGGATACTGAATTTGGGCTTGTCTACAGCACTTTTATGTTGTAAGATGTTTGGGTATGCACTCGAAGAAATAACGATGATCGAGCATAAGTGACAAGTACATGTTTTGTCTTCAACACCGATTAAAAGTATCAACATACAACTTTTATAATACAAGGTGAATAATGTTAAGAGAATGAAAAATTTTCACAAGTTCAGTATATTGGCTAATCTTAGGTCGTTCCGAAAATAATCTCGCTTCTTTGACCTTTTCTATACTATTAGATTCCCATTTGATACTCAATCCTCAAAGAACATCAACAGGCAAACACCCCGGATGACATTCGTTTTTCTTTTTTTCACAACTTGTCCCTTCTTTCTAATAATCTGTTTTTGTTTCAATTCATATAGATTTCAAGGATAAAGTTGGTATAGTTCGTATTTCCGAATCGTCCAGGCATTACTCAAACTACATAGATACATTTGAAACTCCAAGTTTGTGAGCGCTGAAATCTGCGATTATCATTTATGGAATAAATTCCGGAGACTTACTGGTGTCCGATGAGTTTATGTTTGAGACAGGTCGCTAAAATTTGATGTGAAATTCTACAGAAACTTTAGACGAGATATGGTAAAAAAGAAAAATTGTTGCATATTCTGTAGGGTTAGTACTTAATCCAATACTGGACTTCTTCTTGGGGTCGGTATAAGAATTTGAACATCGGTATTAGAATTTGAACAGAGGCGAAACTTGAGCATTGCAAAAATAAGAATTGTTACCTCAGCGTTTCTGCGGAATGTGACATCACCATTTCGAACGTGATATAAAACTCGTACAGGGTGAAGTACAGTAAACTTACGAGTAGACCCTGCTAGACAACATCTTAAATTTTTGGAATTTGTTCTTTTCAAACAGTCATAGGACGCTGTATGTATGCTGGAGGTTACTACAGTAATTTGATAAATTATGTTTCTAACAAGTTCTTTTGACCCTACCATTATAGAAAATGGTCGGTCTTCTTTGAACGCAAAATTAGAGTAAGCTAAAGCCATCCGAAATGTGGATCCGTTGATTCAAATGGATGAGTCAAGGCTAGGGAATGATCAGAGAGTGCGCGCGAGGGAGAGACGCAGACTGCGTCGTGGGCGCGAGCGGCCTTGATTAACAGAGCCTCGCCTTCCAGCCGCCAATCCGGTTGAATCAAAAGATACGTTCCTCTAAACTGTCGTGTAACGTGTTTTGCTGTTCTGTGATAGACTAAATATACAACAATTTTTGCAAGAAGCAGCTAAAAAATTCAAATTACTTTCAGAGCAACTTTACAGCTTGCTTTCCATCAGTGGAGTGAACCTGCTAATCTCACTTTCCAAGAGGTCAACGACAAAGATGCAGATATCGTTATCACATCCATTCCACTCGAGTCTTACAGTGAAGGTATATAGTTTTCGAGAAGTATCAGGTTGCTGCATAAGTTCTAGCGTCTGCGACTGTCAAATTTAAAGTATCATAACTTTTTTCCAAATCAACTGCTTTCAGTAAGCTTGATTTCTCTGGATTAGGCAAGCTTTTGACTATCCGATAAATAGTATGCCTAACAGGATACACTACTGTAAAAGAATCAGTATTGCAAAAATTTTGCGTTGTTTTCTTTCAATCTGTCTTTGTCATGGATCCCCTATGACAACTGGCAGCCTTGAATGAAGAGCGAAAATTTTGTAAATTATTTCATAACCAAAATTAGTCCTCACAGTTTCTTAGAGGTTATTTTGAGCAAATGACAAAAAGGCCAATTTTTTTGCCTCGCTCTTGTGCAAGCAATCACGACCTTTTTCAAATTTTGATTTTTTTTCAAATGTCGCGAGCACTAAAGAGGCATTGGTTTATGGGCTCTGCCAGCTTTTGCTTTACTCTTTAACCTGCAACTGACTCATCGATTGCATTCATTCAAAGAATGTTACTGACTGTAAAACATCTAAATGAAGGATCGATTTCTGAAACAAATTCTGCAAGCAAGACGTTTTTTTTTTTTGAATAAAGCAAACTAATGCATATGTTAGCCCGTTACACCGTTACTCAATGACACTAAAAGAACCTAACTTGGCAGAAGGATTGTGGAAATTTTTGTACTAGAACATGGACCATATTTCAGTAACCTAAACTCCTGAGCCTGCAATCTTGTTATATAGACTGAAGATTTTTATAAATTTCAATATGTGTCAAAAAGAGCAAGAAAAACGCTTTTTAATGATGCAAAAACATTTCCGCATTTAACATGAATATCACTCCATGTTCAACAATGGTGAATGAACAGAAAGCCTGCCAACTCACTGATGCAGAGTTACCAACAAACGGGACCTTCTTAGGGCAGCATGCACTAACATCTTCGCGGGGAGGGGACCGCAGCTTGAAAGAAAGCCTTATATTTCGAAACTCCAAATACCTGGATTTCACGCTGTTTACCTATCCGTAAGTATTCCTACTACCCTTCACTATGAACATGTTGAACAGGAGCGAGAAGCTGTACGAACCGCATTTTCCAGCTTTTGTATGATCCCTGATGATCCCCGGCGCTTTTCTTTAAAGTCATTTTTCTTCCTCCGAAGTTAACGAAAACCTTCCAAAGTTGTACTGAACATCTAACACAATACTGCTAAGCATGTTGCTGATGAGAACAAATGAGTTTTTGAAAAGTTAAATTTTTCGGTAAACCTCAAATTTCGACCTGTGGATCATCGAAAATTTCATGACTTCAAAACATCATTTGTTCTTATCAGCAACATGCTTAGCACTGTCGGTTTAGATAATCTGTACAACTTTGGAGGTTTTTCGTTAACTTCGGAGAAAGAAAAATGACTTCAAAGAAAAGCGCCGGGGATCATCAGGGATCGTACTAAAGCTAGAAATGCGGTTCGTACGGCTTCTCGCTCCTCTTCAACATGCTCATAGTGAAGGGTAGTAGGAGTTTTTACGGATAGGTACACAACGTGAAATCCAGGTATCTGGAATTTCGAAATATAAAGCTTTCTTTTGAGCTGCGATCCCCTCCCCGCGGGGATGTCAGTGCATGCGGCCCTTAGTATTAATGCCGCAGATGGGTAGAGGATTATATTATATATAGCCAAAGGGAGGGTCTCGCGCGACATCTGCAGCAAACACACTCCTCCTGCAGTATAAAGAGTGCATATTATTTGAGATGTCCGCGCAAAATCTCTCCTTTCGACTATATAATCCTCCACCCAGTTTGAACTAACTTGTAGTTTTCGGAGAAAATTAGCGGCAGCCATGGATGTAGGAGCCTATGGTTTACCTGAGTGACAGCAGGTCGCCGGCATTACAGGGTAGCCATTTGTTCACGCGCAAAATGCAGCGCAAATTCTCGGCGCCGCAAGCTCACTATTTTGAGCGAAAAATCTACTACATTGTAGATATGATTTTCTTTTATACTACAGTATTATATTATAGACAGAGCCATAGTCTGCCAAGTATACGCTCCACCCGTCGGACGCATAGAATTGAATCCCCATGTGAACTGGACATTGAATGAGGCAGGAGGAGGAGAAGGACAGGAGGACTTTTATGCAGTAAGAAACAACGGTATTATTTGTTTCCGTCGTGCTAGACTGAATGTTTACAGGGAGCACTGCGAGTGATTGGTTATGCTCTTGGATTCATGAAATCTGATGATCCAGAATCTGTTATGTACGGGTTAAGGATTTCAAATCGTAAACTTGGTGAGTTGTAAGGGCTTGAAACTATGAAAACGCGACATTCGTCGATACAGTTACTAGTGACAATCTGGATTTTGGATTGTCTCAAACTAGTACGACCTCGTACAGATAACACACAGTATAGTGCCCCTTCCCTACAGGGAAGGATACTTGGTAACCGTGGCCTTTCGTTACGATTTGTAGATCAAAAAAATGCCCCTTCGTTGGTTCGAATACTGTCTTCCGTTTCTGCGAAACGATAATAGATGGAGTCATGACTATTCTTCGATGAATGAATTGCGCTACTGGGGAGGGTTGTCATTGATAAAAAAAAATTTCTTTACTATTCAAATGCTGAATATGATTTAGATAGGTATAATACAACAGTCTTCCTTCTAAGATTTTCTTCAGTAGCTTCAAACGGTAACATAGAACAAATTTGATGATTTTAAACACGAAAGTACGCAAATTTTCTACGCCTTCTTTCAGAAGATCGTTTCACAGATATCGAGCATAGATCTAGAATCATCGTGCATCTTACAGGGGAGCCTGCATAGGAAACAATTAAGAGCGCGAGCAGCGTAGAAAAATTCAGCAAATACCGATTTGCAGTCAGTGTCAACCTTGTGCTCCCTTTTCCACTGGCCACATCGCAACCCCGGTCCTCGCGTCGCGTTCGCGCGCGTATAGGTGCGCACTCGAAACTCGCCTCATCGATCGGGGTCGCAACGCTAGACCTTTACAGTGAGAATGGTAGCTGGAAAAGGGGGAGCACTTGGTTGACATTGACTGTAATTGTCTCCTGCGAATACAGGCGACAAGGCCATTGATTCCTCCCGCACTGCCGTCCTTTTTGCACCGGTGTTTTCGAAAGCAGGGAAACTACAAGTCATTTGTCGAATCTATTAGGCTATAAGTTCAGGACATTCATAAAATCGTGACGATGGTGGCACCCACGCGCGCCGCCTAAGCAGTTTTGACAACTGCAGTTCTTGACTTTCTTCTCTATTCAAATCCTTTTTTTTCGAATGCGTAAGATAGCTGTTGTATATGTATTTGGAGTGGTTCAGCTGAGTTGAATTGAATTGATAGCTAGAATTGATAGCTTTCTTTTGAGTGCTTTACATTCTTATGACGTTTAAGCTTGCGTAAAGGCCGCAGTCGAATTGTTGTCACGATTTCATGAAGGGTCTATACACTTGGGAAGAAACTTCGAAGTAGTACTCTTGATCAATCTCGCCCATTTCTTATTTTATATCGATATCTTTTGATTATTGCTTATTGAAGTCCTCGATATTCCAGGAAAAAATGATATACGAATAATTCGAATGCTTTTTCCGAAAACGCCAAATGTGGAAGAAGATGCTATCCTGAAGAATCTATCAAACATCGATGACAATTTACTCCTACTACCAAAGGCTTGGCGGCGCCACGAAGTCACCGCTCCTCCAAAAAAAGCTTTGGTGAGAGATGCCATGCTGAAACATAATCTTGTATATGACTGGTGGTCTGTGTGAAGAGACTTCTTGCGACAGCTTGCTTCGATAAATTAGTGAAAAGCCTTATTGTCGCTGTACTTAATCATTAACTGCTTGGTCTTATGCTGCTGCTGCTCAGGGCCTAGTGGTGCTTCTCAAAAACTAATCCTCGCTGCATGCAGTCCTAGTCGAGCAAGTAAAATCCGCCTTGTGTCAGCTCTATTTCTAGACTTTGGTGCAGGACTTCTTCAGAAGCACTGTACGCACGGACGGGATTATTTAACCCACTAGCTGGCTTGCCCGGCTCCGCCGGGCCTGCCAGCTAGACCCGTGTACGTATGTTCCAAATAGAAAATTCCATTTCTGAACCGATCCGGACCAAACTTTGCACACATACACTTCGGGCCCCGGCGGGTGTCACAGTCCACTTTTCGTTATCGATCGATGTCGATTATACCGATTTTTATCGATCTTTTTTGCAGAGTTCACCTACAGGGCTAGGAGTTGGCACAGGGGGGAAGTGAGCATGGGGATTCCGAACACAATATTAGTTTTCAGAATTATCGATTACTTTTATTGATTTTATCGATTTTTTTGTAAATTTTGACCTGCGGGGCTGGGAGTTTGCACAGGGGGGTAATCGAGCATGCTGATTACGAACACAATATTAGTTTTCAGGATCGTCCATTACTTTTATCGATTTTATCGATTTTTTTTGTAAAGTTTGACCTGCGGGGCTGGGAGTTTGCACAGGGGAGTAATCGAGCATGCAGATTACGAATACAATATTAGTTTTCAAGATCGTCCATTACTTTTATCGATTTTATCGATTTTTTGAAAATTTGAGCTAGGGGGCTGGAATTTGGCACAGGGGTGTAATCGAGCATGCTGATCACCCCCCTTGGGGATGATCAGCATGCTCGATTACCCCCCTGCGCCAACTCCCAGCCCCCTAGCTCAAACTTTGCAAAAAAATCGATAAAATCGATAAAAGTAACCGATAATCCCGAAAACCAATATTGTATTCGGAATCCCCATGCTCGACTACCCCCCTGTGCGAACTCTCAGCCCCGTAGCTCAAACTTTGCAAAAAAATCGATAAAATCGATAAAAGTAATCGATAATCCTGAAAACCAATATTGTATTCGGAATCCCCATGCTCGATTACCCCCCTGTGCCAACTCCCACCCCCGTAGCTCAAACTTTGCAAAAAAATCGATAAAATCGATAAAAGTAATCGATAATCCTGAAAACCAATATTGTATTCGGAATCCCCATGCTCGATTACCCCCCTGTGCCAACTCCCAGCCCCGTAGGTGAACTCAGCAAAAAAATCGATAAAAATCGATAAAATCGATATCGATCGATGACGAAAAGTAGCCTATGACACTCGCCGGGGCCCAAAGTGTATGTGTGCCAAGTTTGGTCCCGATCGGTTCAGAAATGGAATTTTCTATTCGGAACATACGTACATACAGACATACAGACAGACATACAGACAGACATACAGACATACAAACAGACATTCAGCTTTATATATAAGATTGACGACGACGCCTAATTTTTCATGGCGGCGCTGTGGGACGACGCGATTTTGCACAACACTTTCAGCGTGGGAAAGTTTTGTGATTATTCACAAGATGTAAAGTTGTTTTACGACTACAAGTTTCTTCTTGGAACACGAAGTCCACAGGTTCCAAGAGTGCAAAAAATCAAAAGAAAAACTGAACTGTGGAGAAAATGCTGGGCCTGGAAAGCATATGATTTTGCAAGGGCTGTGGGCCACCGGTGGTCCACATCGTCGTCCATGGGTTAAGTTGTTGGTGTGCTTGGTAGACCTCTAGAACATAACAAAGTTCGCCTGGAAAAGCAATCTTTGAAGGCAGTGTCCGGACAATTTTGAGGGTTGTTGGACTTTACTGCCTTGTTGCCCTCGGGCAGCCATCGCACAGTGCGAAGTCATAACATTAGATTAGAAGCGAAAATCCGCCCAAAAAGGTGGGAGAATTACAGGGCTTTCAATTGCAGGATCGGGGGCACCGACCCTGCACATCTTCCACGAACATGCTCTCAATATTAGCTTCACCGCTCCACGGCTTCCCACTATTGGAAACGCTCGCGCTGGGAAAAGGCGGAACAGATTCCAACAGCTCCAAAATGTGTCTACACTTAGGAAACGGCCATAGGTTACCGGCAACGGTTTTCAGTGTTGTCAGTGTTGTCGGGTTGTCGGGGTCAGAGACAGTTTAAAGAGCGCGCGAAACGTGGAGGCAATCATGAGGTCACAACGACCGGCACACCGACAACCCCGACAACACCGGCAACCGTTGCCGGCTATCTATGGTCATTTCCTTACACGTTGGCGATGGTATAGTTGACTGCACGGAATAGCCCGGGACCAGCGCCCGCGAGAGCATGTCTCCTGTGGGCTAACATTGGCATACGCGCGCAGTCATCATAGCGCCCGTACTCGGCAACCGCGTTGCAGGCACGCTTGCGTGCATTCAGCCTACAACGACCCGGGCGATATGGTGCAGTCGGGGGGAGGAGGTACACAGAACAATTGGGATGGTAGTATTTGTCGAAACAAACAGTTATATCGCATGAGGCTGAGGACATTTTACTCGATTCCATGTTTAGCAAACATTGCACTTGCTCTGCAGATTAGTCTAGAATGCGCCGCTCCACAAAGCCACTTTGACCTACATACATCCAGCCAAAACAGACTATATGACTTCAGAGCATTACCTGTCTTCTGTAAAAAGGCATTTGTTTGTACCGAACAACACTGAAAACCAGTTTATTAATAACTATCACAAAGGCTTTATTTATAATGGTAATCACTGAGATGATGAAGATTATGGCCAAGTGAATGTTAAAATTCAGATTGCGGTTTACCATGAATATTAGTCTCGAATCCCAGTAGCAAAGATAAAGTGGAGCATTATATAAAGAATAAACAACTTGCTACAAACAAATTTTCAGAACTTCTACTCTGGGCAAGATGATGGTAATAGTTGAGATGACGTTTGTAATCACTTTGAATGACTAGAAAGTTTTGGGTATGTAGATAGATGCTAATGCCTATAGCGGAGGCTATTGCAATACGCTCCACAAATGCGTACCTTCACAGGTCATGGGTGTAGAAATGAATGAGCTAATATTATCACAGCTCCTTTGAAAATCAAGCCACCGCTACTTCACAAACAATCAGAAAAAAAATCGAGTTGACAAAATCAAATGACAGCAACATATGTGCATACCAGAGATGGTCACTATCGTATGAACAATGTCAAAATGCAAACAGAAAAAAATTTCAAATTCATCTTTTCCCAGCCTCCACCATATTATGCACATCAGCAATAATTGTCCTAGCAACTTCAAGAGCAACCTCCTCCTCTTTCACTGCGGACTTGTCCAAGTACTTCCTCAGCTTTTGACGGATTCTTAAAATTGAGTTATGTGTGCACATATTGCAGAATTATGAGCATACTTTGCTGGTGTGGAGAAGTCCTGAGTTAACGAGTCGTCATAAAGCACGTGGTACTGACCCATGCAGTCGACTTCAGCTATATTACTGTAAAAATAAATTGCGTTAACTCTATTCAATAGAAGGCAAATCGAAAAACACAATTATACTCAAATTATTATTAAACTAGGCGCTGACCTCTGTGGCATTTACCAAAAAATGAGAAAAGTCATTTTTACAGACGGAATTGCCGGACAATTCCAAACGTCCACCACTCAATACAAAGTTTGTTGCGGCCGTGTTTCCAGTGGGTAGGACAAAGCTAATGGATTTCGAACCCAGTGGCCATATTCATCAACGAATGGGTACCGGAACCACTGGGTTAGTGCTTTTTGAATATCGATTCTACTCCAAGGAAGAATCGATATTCATCAAAAGCACTAACCCAGTGGTTCCGGAACCCACGGGTTTCGTTGATGAATACGGCCACAGTAGTGCTTTTGTGAACATCGATCTAACCCAGTGGCAGGAAATCGGTACGAAGCCGGAACCCAATGGGTTCGTTGACGAATACGGTCACTGATGAGACTGCCAACACCTTCCGTACAAAAATATAAAAAAACAAGATAGACATCTCCAGCCCAAAAGGCGAAACGAGGTCAAGTGTGTCCTTATACTGTCCCCAAGATCCCGGTATCGTCGTGTCAAAGTTCACAATCGTTAGAGACACGTAAGCACACTTTTCTGATCTTATTCTATTTTTCTCCTGTTCCCGAGTTTCCCTTCCGTCAATGCGGATGTAATCTTCAAAAATCACGGAATGTTCCACGATCTTTACCACGTAACAACTCTATCCATGCGGTGAAAGGGGGTGGGGGGAGGGGAGGTAGGATAGAAGAAGTGAAGCTTAAGGGCGCTTCAGACCGCCTGCACATGAGTTCCAAAAATGTGCAAGTTGTAGTGTAGTACTAGTGTTTTTCTATGTTTCATATATCATATAGTTCACAAGTTTCTTTGTTTTGGCTGTTTATCGAATCGATAAGCAGCTAGCCTGGCTAAGGCATCCTAGCGTGCCCCTAGGATACACGCTGCGAGAGAGTAAGGATGAGGCAGTGAGAGGGGGCGGGGTTGACCTCATACAGTTGCGCTACGCTATGGCTGCCATGAGCTAGTAGTGTGATATCCTGCATTGACCAAGAGTGGTCACTCGTCTTGTTTTCCTTTTTATTATCTTGTCATCTCATAGTGCCTTAATTTCTTTCATTTGTGCCTTTGTGTTTCATCATTTTGAAAAGAAATCAGTTTGCAAGTAAATATTTTACTTTGTAACAGTGTTTGTTGTTCACATCTGTGTCGGATTCGACCGTGATATTTCGATATCGTGCTCATTTATTTGTTGAAGAAACCGACTTGGGGGCCGAGCCGGTGAACAACTCACACAACTGATTTTTTTTGTGTTGCAGAATTCCGAGAATGGATTCAATGGAGCAACAGGCAAGCGGACACGCCACGCCACAACCACCACACATCCCCGCAGTCCAGAATGCGTTAAGCAACTGGAATTCACTTGAAGTGAGTGATAGTCAATTTGATAATATTTTGACTTTTATGGGGGATGTGTTGGACAGCCAAATTAGGCACCTCTCGCGTGTAAAGCGAGATCAGATATTGATTTCGTTGCGCGAGAGGTTGCAAGTTAGCCTCGGAGGGGAACTTGACCATGCAGGTAGCTCGCACTCCGCTCTTTGTGATAAATTCCAAATGAGCGTCGAGGAATTGCTTGAGTACATACCCATGGCCAGTTCCCACAGCCAAATGGTAGTGAGGTTAGGGGCTAGGTTGGGCTGTGAGATAGATGAGGTAGAGGCCGTAGTTGAGGATAAGGCCGCAACTATAGCCGATCTGGAAAACAGATTGGCAGCCTCCCAATCTAAGCTTAGGCTAGAGGCTTTGAACAGTGTAAGGAGAGAGGAAGATTTGCAAGCGCAAATATTAGTATTACAGGAACGTGTAAAAGAACTCTCCGGCCCCTCTCAGGATTCACAAGCCACAGCTTCGGCAAGCCTAGTCGAGGGTGAGTGTGAACTTTCACATTCTGTTCGGGAAAATTACCGAACATTACAAAGTGTCAACAATCGTGTTCAGGGATCCCGCGTACGTCGAGAAGCGACCGCTGGGCCACACTGCGACCCACCCCGAGCCTCACCCAAGTCGTCGCGACCATCGTCGGCCATGTCCTCCCAAGGATCAACGATCAGTGAGTCCCTATCGATTATTGATATGGGATCTAGGGATGGGATAGGTGCTGGGAACCCGGTTAGGGACATGTTTACTATGTTTAAAGAAGTTTTTAAAGCACAAAGCGTGGCCAGCGTGCCACGATACACGGGTAAAAATTCCCTGAGTGATTTCCTCCGGGCGCTGGAAGTGAAATTCCCAGCAAGCGTGTGGCAGGACCGGGATAGGAGGGATATCCTGGTTAACCACCTGGAGGGCACGGCTAAGGCAGTGTTTAAAAGCCTGCCACAAAGCGTGCGGGAAGGGAGCTTTAAGGGTGTAGTAGAAGCCCTAAAGCAAGCGCGAAGAAACCCCTGCGACCGTTTAAAGAATATAAGAGAGTGGGAACAACTCTCAAAACGGAATGGGGAAACCGTGGTGGATTTCTGCTGCAGGATGGAGGATCTCTCTAGGAGAATCCATCCTAGTTGCGAATGGGATTTCATTCGCGGCTCCAAGCTGTATTCATGCTTGGAGAGTTGGCAGGACTCCTACCACATGCTTGCTGCTTTAGACTCGCCTGAAGGGCAAGTCTACGAAGCAGTCAAGAAGGTAGCAAGGAGGCTGGAGAAGCTTCAAGATGGAGCGGTGAGGCACCCTAGTGACTCGAATGTTCGGGCAAAGAGGGTAAATGCCTATGTGAAGCCGCAAGTTGAAGCCAGATACCCAGCGGGTCCTAGTAAACCCCTTGTTAGTGGTGCAACTAATAAGGCCCCGGTAAAATGTTTTACTTGTGGCGAAGTTGGCCACATCTCTTCAAGATGTGATAAGAGGAATCAAAGCACAGCTAATCGATTTCCACAGGGAAGGGGTATGAGGTGCATTCAACCTCACAGCAGTGCTGTAGGGGGGATCACCTTGGCCGACGATGTTGAGGGATGGTGCAAGACCGTCCAAGCCAATCATGCCAAGGTAGATGCGAGCCCCAAGGCTATAGGAGAACCATGTCTCTGCGAGGTAGAAGTGTTTGGCATAAACACAAAGGCTTTGATAGATACCGTCGGTAGTTTCGATAGTTCCTGTGGGGTTTTTGAAACTGGCCCGTCAGCAAGGGGTGGATTTCAACACACAGGCTAGGAGGGTCGTTGATTCTAAACAGCGCAAACTTGTTGATGCTTCAGGAAACCTCATGAGCTTTCTCGGGGAGCTAGTAGCTAAGGTTAGTATACACGGGAATGGAAGCATTCCTGTACATTTACATGTCCAGAAAACCGAAGATACAACGCTACTTTTGGGGACTAATGCCTTATCGGAGCTTGGTATTGCGCTAACTTTTCCAACATTACCGAATAAAGGAAACACCGATTGTCAACAGGTTCATGCTGTAGCAAGAGTAGTTATACCTCCGGGATGCGTGGCCACGGTACAGATCGAGGGATCATCTCAATCAGGTCCCTGCCTGTTCTGGTCACGTCATGACCGCATAGAATCGGGAGTGTGCGCAGTCGAGCAGAGCAAATCCGAAATATCAGTGTTGAATAGAGAAAGTGAACCTTGGGTTATCCAAAAAGGGGAACAGTTAGGTACATGGTCCCATGATTCATGGATAGATCCTAGGATAAGTGAATTACCTGGCGATATGCTAGTATTGAAGCAGCCTACATTGGTAGAAGATGCGGAAAGGATAGGTAACCTGGTTGGTCTACTTGACGCCAATAGAAGAGCAGGTCCTATGCCTATGGAGATTAGGAAGGTAGTGGAAGACTATCATGACGTTTTTGCCATTTCTGATTTGGAGCTCACTCAAACCCATCTGGTTGAACATGACATTGAAGTGGGAGACCATCCGCCCATCAGGCAGAAGACTCGACCGGTACCGTATGGACTTCGTGCGGAGGTTGAGACAATGCTTGATGAGCTTAAGGAAAGGGGAGTGATAGAGAATAGTGAGTCACCATGGGCATCGCCAATAGTCTTAGTGGCAAAGAAGGATGGAACTATCCGTCTTTGCGTGGACTATAGGGAAGTGAACAAAGTAACGAAAAAGGATAGTTACCCACTCCCACCTATAGATGTTACCTTGCAAAATCTGCAGGGTATGTGCTGGTTCACATCATTGGATCTAGCGAGTGGGTATTGGCAAGTACCGCTGACAGAGCGCGCCAAAGAGATTAGTGCTTTTACCACTACCGCGGGCCAATTTCAGTTTAGGGTGCTACCCTTTGGACTCACAACCGCCCCTGCGAAATTCCAGCGCTTAATGGATCAAGTATTGGGCGATGTTAAAGGGCGCGAGGTCTCGGTGTATATCGATGATATTCTAATCGCCACCGAAAGCGTAGAGCGCCACGCCGAAGTGCTGAGGAAAGTGTGCCAAGCTTTGAGACAAGCTCAGCTTAAGATGAAGCCACAAAAATGCCGGATTATGGAACCTAGCATCGAATTTTTGGGGCATGTAGTGGATAAGGATGGTGTCAAAACCGACCCGGATAAAGTGGTGCGAATTCAAAATTTTGAGCGCCCAACCAACATAGCGCAACTACGGACATTCCTGGGTATGGCAGGATACTATCGCAAATTTGTGTTACATTTTGCGCAGATCTCGAAGCCTCTCTATGAGCTTACCAGTCCTAAGAATGCTTTCTGTTGGACGGCGGCGCATGAGAGAGCTTTTAGCAAACTGAAGGAGGTTTTAACAGAAGCCCCGGTTTTGGCGCAGCCAAACATCGAAAGAGCAAGAGACGGAAGCCGTCCTTTCATAATCTATACCGACGCAAGTCGTATAGGTTTGGGCGCCGTTTTGACACAGGAAGGCGAAGATGGATTGCTCCATCCCGTATTTTTTGCTTCTAAGCCGTTAACGCAAGCGGAGAGGAATTATCACGTCACTGATCAAGAAGCGCTGGCAGTAGTTTATGCGTTAAAGAAGTTCCATTATTTTATCTATGGGGTCAAAACCATAATAAAAACGGACCATGCAGCGCTTGTATCGCTCTTTAAACGTACCAATGTGTCTCCCAGGGTGCTGAGATGGGCGCTGGAAGTTCAGCGCTATGATCTGACCATCGAACACCTGAAGGGAGCAGCTAACTGCGTTGCTGACGCATTATCTAGGGGACTCCCTGAACAAGTATTTGCTAAATACGGGTACGCCGAAGGTGAAAAAGTAGTTTGTGCAGTTCAGGAGCACGAATGGTTGTCGGAATTGCGCCAAGATTCCGATTTTGCAGCCTTGATTTCTGCAGTAGAGAGCGAGCGCGAAGAGGAGGTGAAACTCCCAAGACACGAGAAAACCCTTAGTTCTGTGGATTTTACCATTGAGAACGGAAAATTACACCTGATAAAGGAAGATGGGTCTTTGGTCCCAGTAGTGCCGCGATCACGCCGCCAAAGCGTGTTTGACGAAGCCCATGCAGGAGCCCTTGGAGGACATTTTCACCCGCGAAAATTGTTCCTTCAGCTCAAGAAAAGGGTATTTTGGCCTGGAATGCGAGCAGACCTGTTTCGGTGGTACCGATCTTGCCAGAAATGCTTCCTGACCAACTGGAAAAAGGATAATGTCCCACCGTTGCGACCCTTTGAAGTATCCAGACCTTTTCAAATAGTGGGGATCGACATTTTAGAGATGGGTTTGACTAGCCGCGGAAACCGGTATATAGTCACTATCATAGACCATTTCACCAAGTATCTTGGAGCGTATCCGGTACCCGACAAAAAGGCGGAAACTGTTGCTGAAGCCCTATTCAGCAACTGGATTTGCGCGACAGGACGCTGGCCGGAAACAGTGTTTTCAGACCGCGGTGGCGAATTTGAGAACAGTATAATGACGGTTCTCTGCGATTATATGGGGATTTCCCAAAGTTTTACCAAAGGATACTGCCCGAGAGAAAATGGAGTGACGGAGAGGGTAAACGGAACTATCGTTAGAATGCTCAAGAAGAAGACGGTAACACCAAGTGAATGGGACAAAGTGCTCCCCACGGTAGTTTACGCCTACAACGCGTCACCTCACAGAGCAACGGGGGAAAGCCCGCATTTTCTGCTGTACGGAAGTGACCCTAAGTATCCGTCCGCGGTAATTCCACCAGAACACCTATCTCCGTACATCGTAGACTACGATAATTACAAAACGGAGCTCTTGTCGGGGTTAAAACTCGCCCGCGAATGCATTGTAGAAAATGCACGGGAGTACCGCGAAAATATGAAAAAGTATTACGATCGGAAGCTGGAAACAGCAAAGTCAGTAAAATTTGCAGCGGGAGACCGCGTTTATATGAAACTGCCAGCTGAAAAAGGGCAGTCTGAGCACCCTAAACTAGTAACGGACTGGGCAGGACCGTTTCGGGTGATTGAAGCCAGCGACAACTCGGCGCTGATCACTCAGATTGGCGAGAACGAGGAACCCCGGCGAGTACAGTTTGACCATTTGGTCAAAGTACCGTCGGAAATCGACGATACTCCGGTGATAGGGATGACCGGGCGCAGGAAACGGGGAAGACCCAAGAAAACTGCGAAAACGCCCGATTTACCCATGAAAACTAGTAGAAAACGGGGACGACCCAAGAAAGCTGGACAGGGGAAGATTGATGGGGTTGTGAGCAGCATTAGATTAATAAAGTTTCTTTTCAGGAAGCCCTTATCATCTGCAACGAATGCCAGACACGTCAGTTGGAAATGTCCTGGAAAACTCGCCCATGGAAACACCGTTTTGGAATGCTCGATCGAGGAAAGAGTGCCGGACGTCATCCCGAATTCGCCTCCCAGCTGCATCAGCATAGGAACGCCGTACGATCTCGCCCGGAACATCTCTAAACTAGTCGCGCAGTGGAAGCGCTCTTTGCAGGGGACCCCCTTGTAGTGTAGTACTAGTGTTTTTCTATGTTTCATATATCATATAGTTCACAAGTTTCTTTGTTTTGGCTGTTTATCGAATCGATAAGCAGCTAGCCTGGCTAAGGCATCCTAGCGTGCCCCTAGGATACACGCTGCGAGAGAGTAAGGATGAGGCAGTGAGAGGGGGCGGGGTTGACCTCATACAGTTGCGCTACGCTATGGCTGCCATGAGCTAGTAGTGTGATATCCTGCATTGACCAAGAGTGGTCACTCGTCTTGTTTTCCTTTTTATTATCTTGTCATCTCATAGTGCCTTAATTTCTTTCATTTGTGCCTTTGTGTTTCATCATTTTGAAAAGAAATCAGTTTGCAAGTAAATATTTTACTTTGTAACAGTGTTTGTTGTTCACATCTGTGTCGGATTCGACCGTGATATTTCGATATCGTGCTCATTTATTTGTTGAAGAAACCGACTAAGTGACCTCCCTATACTTGTAAATAATCACTATACTTAAAATTTCTGAAAATTCAAATTAACCTTTGAAAAATTTTTCAAATGCGTGTTTCGGAGTCATAGGCCAAAACTTTGGGAACCATCGGAAAAAAATTTTCCTAGTGCGTGGCTATTGCTATGCCCCTTCATTTGAGAAAAAATTTTGTCGCCCCTTCTCCATGCAAATTGGGACAGCCACTGGTGCATGCCTTTCGATAGTGCACATCGTGCGCGGTCGTAGATCCTGACAGTTAAAAAAGATCCAGGAGGAAGCAGCTAGTAAGTTCCGCAACATTCGGATCGAACGGATATGCCTAATGGGACTAATCTTGAGTGTAGCCCTATCATTGCACACATTAGAACCTAAGAAGAAACCTAATCCAACTTTGCTGAATTTAACAATACCGTAGTACATATCAGAACACCAATGGCGACCGAGGTAAATACCGCAAGGTTCAAAAAAAGATTACATGGATTGTAAAACTACGCAAGTTATTTTTTTTTCACTTTTAAGTAACTGATATTAATCCTCAGATCCTCGAAAATTTACGAACTTGTAAAAAAGTTTCAAAAGGAACTGCTGTCGCCACACCTTCTTCTAAAGTTTAGGGGCTATAGATCCACCAAAGTTTCAAAACGCATCCCAAAAAATTCCGTACAGCGAACACCACGCCCTTCATTCAAAAATTTCTTTACATGCTCACCATCCCGCTTCCTTCCCGAACCAAAAAATTTCTTTGAACCTTCACTGCTCACCTATGGCAAAATAATTTCCCAGCATGACGTGACAGGCGATTACCGAATGGGACGCCAGAGAGACAAAAACGTAAATGAGCGACCGGTTACAAATTATCGAACGGCATGCACTTTGTTGTAGTGTTCAACAACAATCAATTAATGCAATCGACAATAACAATAGGCAGATGGCATTTCCGAGAGTAATGAGAATTAAAATTCTAGGAAACAATAAAAATGAAAATCCCACTCACAAACTCTTATCGTGCCTGCCAAGAAGTGGTGAATATTGCGCGGATTTTACGGAAGCAGGTTTGCACACCGGTGATTCAAAAGTCTTCCCGAAGTTCATCAACAAAGAATCAGATGACGACGAACCAGCAGCACAGTTTTTCTCTCGATTTGGACGAGGTAACTCTATCTGCAGTAAAAAAAATACTAGTTCAGTTGTTACTTCAAAAACTGTGAAACTTACCGCATTGCAAACCTCCGCCTCTAACTCAATCAGATAGTTAAGATAGCCAGGAGATCGAACAAACGCTCGTAGATATTTCTAGATTGAGTTATAAGGAGGACTTGATTCAAGTGCAATACAAAATTCACTTTTAAACAATAAAAAGTTTGTATATGAATCAGATAGCTCTGTTGCAAGTCATCAAAACCCACCTTGACCAGTCGCTGCATACAAGATTGCTTAGCACTTAAAAAAGATGACCGCAAAGGACGTCCAGAATCGGTACAGATTTCAGACTCCATCACTTGCCTAACATGATCATTGACTTGAAGAGACGAAACTGCTTGCATTGAGAAATACCTATTGCAAAGGCAAATTTGAGAAAGCATTTATCAGAAAAAAAATTCACACTTACTTATCGTAAATACACATAGCATCCTCAAGTAGTTCTTTATCCGATAAAGTATCGTAACTCGCCTCGAATGTATTACAAGCCAATAAGAACTGTATGCAATTGCGATCATGATCGTTGTCGACAAACTAGAAATCAAAGTAAAAACCTGATACTTTCTATAAAAAGTCTTCAGGGAGCGAACCTCTAGAAAAGCGTTCAACAGTGCAGGAACCAACAAGATGTCATCCAAACTACACCCTCGAGAGAGAACTTGCAAAAGATATTTCTTGTAATAAATACTGTTCATGAAATCTTTGAGATAGCTGAAAAAAAAGATAAGAGGTGAAGCAAAGAAGGATTCGAGTAGAAGTGCACTGACCGACTCACGAATACATTGCGGATAGACTCCTTTGCCTCGTCAAATAAATCGGGCCCTAAGCCATCTTCAGACAGTCTTGCTAAAATCACTAATAAGCATTTGTAAGGAACAAGCATTGAATCAGACTACCTGAGATTCGCTCACATATGCTTTTGGGAAAAGACAAGCTAGTAGCGGATTCTTTATCGATGTATCTGTCGTAGATATTTCGTGCGTCTAACAGCACTACTGGAAAACAGTACATATAGACGATTTAACGGCGTGAAACTTGAATATGACAAGTGTAGCAAACTTGAATATGACAAGTGTAGCAAACTTTCACTTTCACCAACTTTCATGCACAACCGCAGCATAAAAAACGCCTCTGTCAAACCATTATAGTATTCCGCTTCCAATGCCCTTACAAATGACGTTCTCTGTACCCAAGAAAACATGACAGAGCTGACGTGGGACAACAGATAATTTCACAACAGCTCTGTTTCAGGCGCAATCAACTGCGAAAGCAACAAATGAGGCCAAGCACTAAGCACCGCTGTCCTCCCCGAAAACCCATCCCGCTCGCTGAGATCTGCATGAAATGCATTCCTTCACTTTATAAAAAGTAGCGCAATATGTTCTTGGCAGCACCCGTCTAACGCGATTATGTCCCACTTCAAAGAAATTGACTTGCAGTAAGGTCCGCAGATTCAGCGCCATAAAAACACCAAGTATTGAGGGAACAGAAAGCGTTCTGCACAAACCTGCCCAAAACAATAAGGACAAGCATTGTCATTGGATAAGCATTGTGAGACTTTAGAATAGAAAATTTCAATTAAAAAAGCTATTAACAACACAAAATGAAAGTGGATTTTGAAAAAGCAAAGACAGGACCAAAGGTTGATAAACACAAACAGGTGCAAATCTAGTTTGAAAAAGGAACATAAAAACATCAATGCCGAGTGAAAAAAACTACAAGCGCAAAAAATTTGCTTGATAGAAACCTACATGATAATTCGACTTTCTGAGATGTTCCAGACAGTCCTTCTTCGAACGAGGATTTATACCCATTCACATGAATCCAGAATTTGATGAGATTCAACTTGTCTGAAGCAGAAATGCACTGAAGCAGCCAAGGGTAGGCCAAAAACTCACCACAAGATTCAAGAAACTGAATGAAGAAGGCTAAGCCGGATGGGTCTTCCATAAGACTATCTATATCATAGGCAAGAACAAACGACTTATGCACAGATATGGGATCGTCCGCTGGAAAATCAACAGCTTAGAAGAGTAAGAGCACAGAACGAACTCACTAGATCTCATGCTGTCTCGAACATCATCCTCTTCAAGAGAAACTCCAGCAACCAGTGCTGGATTCACACCATTTACATGTTTCTCTGCAAAATGAAAACTACTACCAGCGATCTCTACTGAAAAATTTTGTAAAAAAGAACGAGAAAAGAGCAGGAAGGAACTCTCGCTTTCTACACTGCTACAAAATTCCCAAAACTCCTTCTTGCGCGCGTCAAAAAATGGATTTGCTCAAATATATCTTTGATGGAAAGGTCATGAAGCGCAATTTATTCAGATGTCACCAATGCAAAAGTCCAATTTAGTATTATGCAGCTTCAATAACACCAGACAAAGTGTTTTGCTTACTAGGGAACTGAAGTTTACCGGCTGAGTCTGATACTTTGCTGGAATACTATGCAAAATATTTGCGTTGTTGTTATATGCATCTTCAAATGTATTCACCCTTTAAATTCATATTGTGAATTTACTTCGAAATGATAAGACTGAACATCAACTGTAGATAGTAGTCAATACATCTCCGTAAAAGTTTGGAATGTATCTGCGAGATTATAACACTAACAAAGGAGGGTCACGAAGTCGAAGTGGCCGATCTCCAGAAGCTGCATACTATCGGTGAGAGCTTGCAGCGCTGATTCCAGATCTGCTCTCCTTCTATGCTCGATGCTTTTGGAAAAGAAGTTGTAGTTTTGGATTCGATATATGAACTAATAACCGGGATAAAAACAGTAGCTGCAGCGTTTGCAAACCTTGAAAGAAGCAGCGGCAAGTTTGAGGGCATCTCATTCAAACTCTCTGCCTAGTACTTTCTATCTCTCCATTTGACTTCTAGGAAAGTTGCAACGATCGATTTTACTCCGGTCCTTAGGTCATTTTTTTCATAAAAAATGCTCAAAACTTTTTACCCAAAGTTGCTCTGCAGATAGAAGAGCAATTCTGGAATCAGCGTTCCAGGCTCTCACTAATGCACGCAGTTTGTCGTGATCGACCACTTCAACTTCCTGACCCTCCCTTTTAATATATGCTACTTGTTGTCCAGCAAAATCGCGCCTCTTGATATACAAACAACTTTGTCATACTTGACTGATTTACCAAATAAAAGCGAAAAAAACCCAAACAGCAAAAACAACAAATAAATAAAAAATAGAAAGACTGCTTTTGTAACTTACCTCTTCTGCTCTTCTTTTTGAGCTTCTCCAGCATGGTATTCATAATAATTCAACGGGCAACACATGCATGCGTTCGAACTTCATCGCAGCCTATGAGTGGGAGATGAAAACGGGTTACAACGAGGCAGTGAACCCGAGAACGTCAGGCAGCAAAAATTCCTCGGTTGACTTGCGTTGGCCGTGGGGCTGGAAACAACAATGGAGCAGCGTACAACCGACTTCAAAAGTCTTGTCGCTTCAGTTGCTTTTGTGCCTTCGCTGGCAGTAAACGTCAGATACATCTGTATAGAATGTATTTTGGAAGGCGACTTACTCCTGGTCGACGACTATTGGATTCACAAGAGCACGCGATTGTCGTGGAGCCCATATCGGTACGAGCTCAGCTGGCTCTAAACACTATTTTGCATGCAAATTTGCATTTGCGCGGTTTTTAGATAGTGGATGATATCGCTGAAGACGAGGAAGATGCTTACGAGGAAATGGATGAAGAGGAGGAGGAGGATTGCACAACATCAAGTGCCACGGCTCCAGTAATGCCATGCGCAGAGGTTGAAGTTCCAGGTACGTCGTGGGATATTACGTATCTCATCAAAGGCGAAACGATTGACTTTTCGTGGGTTTGTTGGTTGAATATACTACTCAGACAAAAACCGCAATTTCCGCAGAACGCTTGGGAAGGTTCCGCCACGTCACTAGCAGGAGTTTTTTAAACGTACTGCGAAAGTCTCCAAATGCGATGCTGCGAAAATTCCTAAGGATACGAACCGCAATAGCAAGAAAGAACGCTTGAGCGAGAATAAACTTTTCTCCTTTGACAGCGAGACCCACTAATACCCTCTGTACGGATGACTGTTCGACAATGAACTCTAGTTGTTGGCGGAACAAAATCGTAAAGCTTCGGGCAGAGTTCATGCGATTCGATCGTCGCGATTCAATCGCTACAAGACAAGTGTTACGAGTTCATTGCATGTCGATCCTCTTGTAATTAGGTTGTGATAGTTAGTCGCGACTAGTCGTGTTAACTATCACAACCGAAATGCAAGAAGATCGGCATGCAATGATTTTACTACTTGTCTTGTCGCGATCAATCGCTGCGATCAAATCGCGTGAACTCTGCGCGAGGTAAGAGACAACACATTCAAAACCCTGGGAAAGTACTGGCGGGGCAAAATGCCGCGGAACTGCTGGCATTTTCGGAATTTTCGCAGTGTTTTGTGCTGTGGAAGTTCCCGTTTTCAACCACCCTAACTTGAATACCCTCCGGAAGTTCCCTTTTTCAACGATTCCAGTTATGTAACAATGAATAAAATCCTTTGGACCACTGCAAATTATGCTTGTCTTTCGGAAGTTCCGATGAATTGTCTGAGCGAATAGGGATGCATGCGGAATGCCGGCCCGGGCGACTGCAACAAAACGAAAGCGTTCGCGAGCGAAGTGAGTACATACTACGACCGCACGCGGCAACTAGCCCAGTCGAATCCAGATCCAAGCTGGATCCGACCCGCGTTACGGGCACTATGACAGCACCTTGTACATTTAACTCAGTGAGAGGTTCTGAAAGGAAACTCTGAGAATGCATCTTTCTTTTATTCTCTGGTCTACACGAATGACAAGAGTCAATTCAGAGGCAAGCGGATCGTTCGTTTCTACACCTCCACACTGCATTGTGTGTAATCGAACGCCTACTCCAAAAACTCGCTTGTTCAGATGGCCCGATGACCAGCAGTTGAGGAGATCTTGGTATGTCATCGTTCTAACGAATAGGGTTTTCAGCTATGGTCAATCATTTTTGGTAGAAAAATGCGGGACACTGTTAAGCCTAGCCTAGCTGCGACTTGTTCAGTTCTTATATTTTTTCTACAATTAGGATCCGTAAAAATTTGTTTTACTAAACTGCATCAAAATTTGGTAAGGTCTAAAACAAAAACAAAATCGAAGAGCACTGGTCAGAAGGCGGTTTTGGAGCAAAAACTGAAAGTGATCTCAAAGCGGCCTAAATTTTCAACATAATGCAAAACTTTAGCCGCTCTCAGTTTTCGCTCGTCTGCAAGTCAGTAATTCATATCTGTATATTAGTCCTGCGATTAGGATCGGATCCAAATCGGATCCTGATCGCAGGATTGGTATAGCCGCAGCTGTACTTGATAGAGTGCTTGAAGTATACTCAGTGACTGTGATGCTACAGGCTTGCTTTCTTCCATATGGAACCCGATTATCTGGATGGTTGCAAAGATCCATACATTTGCAATGTCCATTTTGATGCGAGCCAATTCCTTTATGAAGGAGATCATGTTTACTGGAAAAAAGATCCGTTTCCGAGGTTTCGGCAGAGGCGTAGCATTCTAGCGGATCCTTTTCCATGGGAAGTGACAATTTCTAGCAAAAAAGTGAGTGAAGTATTTCTTATGACTTCGTTTCACTTGCTTGTTTTCTCATATCATCATCACTTTTTTAAGTCGTTGATGAATAAGTAATGAGTGTCGACGCATAGAATAGACCATAGACCCATCATACATATAATTCAGCAAACACCACAAGAAGCACAACCATATCGAATGAGGCATGGAATACAACACGAGCATAAAGTTACTTTTCGGGAATCTTTCTTCAAGAGCAAGGTAGTTTGAGACCTCCTTTCATATGACGTACGAATCCACTTCACAATTGAGTTAACGTTCGCTTTCGAAGCGTGTAGTCGTTTCTTTTCATTACTCTAATGTGCACTTTGTTTGTCATGGCTTCTGAGAAAGCTATCAGCCGCGATTTGAGGTGTTCAGAAGGCAATAAACGCCGCCTTTGTTTTGTCACCAGAACCTTATTATGTTCTCGCTGCATAGAAAACTAGTTTTCGTAGGCACAGTCAGCTAATATAAGCAATGCATTATTTGCAGCTTCCGCTTTTGCGAGAAAATTGAGTTACCAGTGAGTAATTGTTATGGAGTGTTTGCCCTTCACTCACTACGATTTTTGCAGAAAAGCTGCTTTGAAATAGCTTTTTTTTTGAATAAGGGTCTCAAGAAGCACTCTGGCAAGAAAGTTTTCGAAATAGACATTCCCAAAATTTAGAGACTTTCGATCCTAACTCATCTTACTTACGTAAGGCGGAGTAAACGACTACCTTCACTCAAGTTAAGTATGGTTCTGACTAGACAAGAAGTACTTGACATCGCTGATGAGAATTACTGAGAATGTTTACAAGAAAAACCCTCATCATCTACTTTTAGTCCAAGTCGTCACATCCAGTCGCTGTTGTATCTCTACCTGGAAATCCCAACATTTTCTACGAGTTTTCGTATACAAGGACCTCATCTGTCGACTCGAGTAAATTCTACTCATGCCTGACTTGCAGGAAAGCAAAAATCGACAGTAAGTAAGTGCGTCTGTTCTGCTTGCTTTCATATCTTCTTTGCTTTAAGCGCGGGTGAAAGATGTAATTCGCACTATTCACATCAAAGATGGTACAATTCGCAGCCGTGGCGATCCGTTTTGGGGACATCATTTCGCATGCCGCCCTTTCACATGTGTTGATGATCCGTAAGTGTTTTCTTCCCTTGACCCGGAAAAGTTGGAGCTAGTACTTTTTCTGGGAGTTAGCGGCCAAGGCAGTTGTATTACCATTTGATTCAACTGGCTTGGCATCGGCAAAGGCGGAGCTTCGTGATCTAATTAAGGCTAGGTAATGATCAGAGAGCACCCGCGCGAGAGAGACGCAGGTGCGTTGCGGGCGCGACCGGCCTCAATTACGGCACAAAACCCCGCCCTAATGGTGCCAAGCCAGTTGAATCAAAGGTTACACAACTATTGCACATGCTTTTTTGAAATGTGTTTGCAAAAATTAGATAGTTGCTGATTTTGTAGTGACCTCCTACAAGCTGACACCAATCCCAACCACCTGGGCGATAATGCTCATCATATGCAAGGAGTTCCGACTGCCCTTCGGAAGGACTCAGAATGGGGTATTTACTATCATTGTACAGGTCTGATCTCCTTTTCGTAGGCGTTTACTTTAGAAACAAGGTATGCACCGTACTGTACTCCAGAGTCAGTGGATCCCTCATTACCTCATCAAAACGTTAACGACAATCACGAAGTAGACGAGGTATGCTTATCGATGATATTTATTGTGCTCAATGGTGAGTTTTTTTTTTTTGAAGGTATACCTATCCGCAGGACAGATGCGTACTGTATCTCCATCTGCAGCAAACGCAAAAGTTGGATTCTCTCGACAGGTATGGCAAGGTTTTTTTCAAACTTTTCTGACTCTAAATCTGTGAATTGATCATGGCTGAAATTCTTGTGAATACACTGTGACCATTCGTTTGTAGCTGCGTTACCCACTCCATTCTTGAACTGGCTTTACTCCTGTGATTCATTCCTGCTAAGTGATTGCTGTTGCATCATTTCTGTTTTTTCAGCGTAAAATCCAGTCATTACCGCGATGTCATCTCTGCCGAAAGTTATTGCCCTCAACGAAACTGCTCGTACAACATCTTCAACGACATATCAGATCATGCCCTAATTGCAAATTGTGTGGAACGAAGTTTGTTGCATCGTTAGCTAGATGTTCGCTAGTTTGTTAAGATACTCCCTTCAGACTGTCTCCAGACGACTCAGTGCGTATTCGCCGAATCCGGACTTGCATCAAATGTGTGAGAAAGATGGGTATAGGTGAAAGTTTATTGGAGAAACATGTATAACCGTATTATACAACACGTGCTAAAAGACCTGCAATATTATGAGATGAAGATGTGAGATGATTCTATGATACACCCATTCGTGCTGTTATACCAAGCGATTACATTGGACCACTTGTCGTTCCAGCTAATCCTGGAGCACGTCCATCGCATGCTACTATTTTTACTCTGAAATTCAGTCTTGGTAATTCGACCGCTAACAGTATAATTGAAAGGAAATTACCTGTTTACAGTACGATCGATTGATCTGTGCACGTCCCTGAATTCTACTCCGTCAATGACAAATGTCCAAACATTATCGCAGTATCGATAGGTTACTAATTTGTCTGCTTTGAATTGTACCTAAGTGAAACAAAATCAACGAGAACGGTAACCACTGAAAGTTCTCTCATTATTAACAAGAATTAGCGCGGAGTTAAGTGAGATGTTAGTAGGTTCTGGCTGGTTTCTTCGAGCAATTGTAAGTTAGCTTCTGACTAATGGATATTCATTTTTTAGCTTTTTACACAAAGTAGAATTTCTTAAAGGTAGAGTTTAGACAAAATTGAACTTGTGGGATGGGGCCCTAACCGAGGCACCGCCCAAACGACAGCGCTAAGACTCACTCACTGCCGAGAAATTCACCTCCAAATCTTTCAAACCCAGCCCAAAACGTATGAGCTATCGCACAGCTTGTATAGTTTCATTCTACCGAACGCGGACCTCATGGATCATGTGGATGCATCAATCAGTCGTGCGTTAAATTATGTGGTAGGGGGCTGGTTTGGAAGTTGTAAGTACGCATTTCTTAGGCGCGGGTGATCACACGCTCCGCCTGGGCCATTTCTTAGTTAGGGGCCCTCTCACTTTCCACACCATATGTCTAGTCTTCCTGGATGGAACCTTCAAGTTTTCCTAGACGCCAGTGTCTAGCTCTTTCACAAAAGTTTGCCATATCGCTGGTCATCGGTTTGCTCTTTGATAAGAACTACATACAGTCGAGTAGATTTTCCGCTTAATATAGTGTGCTTGCACAGAAGATGAAATTCGGTGAAATTTGCATGTGAATAAATAGCCACGCCAATACTGCCGGCATTTTGCGCGCGCAACTGGCCAGCATCACAGTCGAAGCTACTTGTTCACGCCCAAAATTTACCGCATTTCGCCTTCTGTGCAAGCACACTACATTGAGCGGAAAATCTACTCGACTGTACTATTTATTCTGCGACTAAAAGACTCGAACCGCTTTGTGCACATTATAAAGACAAGCTCGAATTAGTGATCTGCTTGATCTAGGGTTCTTGCGAGCAAACGTGAGCGTGTTCAAGCTTGTTGGTGTCAATGCGGTCGCAGCATGTCCAAGCTTGTCGCTACCGCCGTACCGAAGAACCTCCTCGGACGAAGTTTTACGGAATTTCTTCGATTCGCCTATCGTAGGAAGCGCTACTGTGCGGAACCAATTAAATACCCTGATCAGAGTGCCAAATGATCCATCTGCGCATTCTTGTGGGATCCGCAGTTCAGTTTTTGGGTCAACCAAATGGAACACGTTCTAGGCTAGGTTTCAAGCTATCTAAGGACCACCAATACTAGCGTACAAAATAAATAAATAAATAAATAGCTTTCGATGCACCACTAGTCATCGTGTATATACAGATGAGATTAGTCAACCATGTAGAAACGAGTAACCGCGTAGTTCCAATCAAATAATGCAAAGAATAGCTCACTTTATTCTTCACCCGGAATGCGAGTGCTTTATTGATGTTTTTGTCGAATGTTGTCAACACCTTCATTGCAAGGGGTCTAGTGATCAAACCTTCTTCAACGAACTCTTCAAGGGTTCGATTTAACGCTGTACCAAGCGTTGTCTCGCGATACATCACGTATGCCATATTGTTATCTGTGATATTCAATTTATAGCGATAGAAAGCTTGAAAAGGACATGAAGCTATGCGAACCCGAAGCAAGAGTACACCGTCTTGGGAAAAAAATTGGTGTTAAAAAGTAAAAATAGAGCCAGACTTCCTCCAAGCATACTGGATGACAAGATGAAAAAATCTTTTATTTCGATAAGAATATGGTTTATGCCAAGCAGTGCACCAGCATCAAATAAGGCCACAACTCAGTTGAGATATATTGAAGGCACCCCAATAATTGAAAATATAATATCACAAATGGAATAATCACATTCAGAATCACATTATATGAAAATCACATTATCATTCCCTAACATGTAAATATGATGCATACACTAGACTACGGGAGAAAAAAAAATTAGAACCATTGGACTACAAATGCAGGTCCAGGAGTACTCTTCATGCAGACGAGCACCTGGTAAATAATACATGCAGACTTGAAACTACAGCAGCACGCCTAAGATCGCAGTAAGCTTCGCCGAATGAACGCCAGTATTTGTTGGTGTCTGAGATCTCAAGACGCTGCTAGCTTCGCTGATCCATCACATGCGACGAATTTTACCCTGTTGACGCGTATACTGTCACGAAAATCTACTTGTTCCATAAGAAAAGTCCACACGTTGTCGCAGTGTCGATATGCTCTCAGTTTTTCAGCCTGAAACAAAAAAATTGACAATCTACGTGAGTTTTAGAATTAAGCAAATGTGAGTTCAAGCAGTCCGAAGAATTTTTTCTTGCGGGGGAGAGGCAACAAAAAGTTTTTTCAGACAATTTCGGAGAAAATTTTCGGGATATAACCAAAGAGCCAAAAAGTTGACGTGGCGGCAGCACGCCCTCGGGAAAAATCCTTCAGAAGGTCTCTTTGGATTTTCAGAAATTTCTAAAAATCATACTCATTATGTATAAGTTGGAAACAAGTCCTTGCCAATTTATAACTCAGGTAAGCAACTTTCAAAGGGAGGGGGGAAGGGGACCCCGCTTTTTGCCCCTTCATTGCCATCATCAAAGAAATTCCTGAAACCGCCGCTGCAATGATCTTTCACTATCAGAAAAACAATATGGTAACTTTTTTCCAATGAAAATATGATAGTATGTAAATGGCAGCGACGAAGGTAGAGTTTTTCGTGATTGAGAGAAAGGAGTGGGGGGACGCGGGACAGAGACAGTTCTTTTCGACGAAAAGTCTCAGTCAAGCTCATCCAAAAATTTGTTTGAGGCGCCTAGTTAAAGTTTCGGAAGCTTGTAGCTATTAAATAGTGATGACGTTTTATGATTTTCCAAACTCGCTAAAAAAAGGAGATGTTTTGGCGCCCAATGTCAAAATTTGAGTTTTAGGTGAATTGGGAGATAAATAAAACTAACCTTGAAGTACATCTTGTTCTTGGCTTTTTGAGCTAGAGCTTTGTTGATGGCTTTGTCGTAAATAACAAGCACCTTTTCGGCAAGCTGTTGCGGAATCATCTCTGGAATGAGTTTGTGATGTGAACAAGAAGTCTAATTTGTTTATTTATTCACTTAATGACACGTGCAAAAACTGGTTTATTTACCTAACCCAAAGCTTAGGAAGCATTGTACTGATACAGATTGAATTTGACGTAACAAAAACAGGAGAATTACGAGGGCATTAGAACTATCAAATAGAAAAAACCTACGCTCTTGAACAAGGTCGTCAAGCGTTTTTTGCAAGGCTTCCCCCAGCGTGGTGTTCCTGTACATTTGATAGTAAGTCATCTGTAAAATCATAATATTCAGATTTTATGGCACTTTCTATCAAAGCCTGTGCTAGTGCAGCTTGTTTCTTTTCGAATCTTTATTTCCAAAATGAGTTTTGTGGTCCTTAACACATTCACGACAAGGCCGATTGTTCGATGACTGCCAATTCGGACCAGAGCATATTTTGCAACATTGAGTTTGCGTTATATTTTCTGGGCGCTGATGGCTCCTATGGTCTGAAGTGTTGATTCTTTGGGAAGTAAACCAAGAGATGTAAACAGAAGCTTATTCAGTTTGTCAGAAAGTTTCATTGTAAACTACCAAAATCAAAAGCTTCAGAAAGCATATGACCCACCGGTGGGTCGTATTGTCCGAAATGGCAGGACGCGTACGACCCACCGGTGGGTCGTATTGTCCGAAATGGCAGGACACGCACGACCCACCAGTAGGTGGTAGTGTCGTGGATGTGTTAGTAAAATGTGGTGACACCATGCAATACTTTCGACGAAGCACATTTTTGGCCCAAATTAGCGCTAACAACAAACACGTGCGTCGCAAGAGTGCCGATCTAATGCATGCTTACAAAACAAAAGAATACAAAGAGATGAGAGGGCATGCCCATACTTCACATCAGAATCTCAAGCAGATTTTTCATTTGAAGAACAACAAAAACACAACAACAACAAGCAACGATGCCCGATTATAATTTCGGGTCAACAGTAACATGCCTAAGTATAGCTTCTTATGATAGCGACAAGTCAAATATTCTGATGACTCCACCACCGCCGGCAGTCATCACTCGTAATGGATTTGATCCCAGCAACGCCATGTCCAGCACATCATCGCCGCCATTTCCCAGTTCCTAAAAATAATTTCTCTATTGTGGAAAAAATGATACGAAAAAATAACTCAGTGCGCTCTAGCTTGAGCTTTACCAACCTTATATAACGATCCATCTCTAGCATCGAAAATCCTTACAGTACCATCTACAGAACCAGCACACAAAAACGGTGTATTTCCTTCCATAGACCACAGTACCCTTGTGATTGCCTGCAAAAGATCCAAGATAATTCTACTCGCTAAAAAGGTGCGTGGTTCTATATATACCTGAGGTGAAGGTGCTCTAAAAATACTGCGAGGAGTGCTTGAGAATGTTTCATACACGCAAAGGGTGCCGTCGTTCCGTCCCACAGCTAACCAGGAATTGAAAGGAGCAAACTGTACACACTCGACGCAGTTCTCCACGTTCTCTCCATCCTAAAACAATTTTGGAGAGATTTACAAAATTTAAGTGCAGACTATTGGAAAAGCAAAGTGCACAAACATTGTAATAAGCGAAAAAAATTGATCTACCTCGTCAGTTTGTAGTGATTGAGCAAGTGGTGGAAATGTTACAGTTTCAGTCAGTTTGTCGGCATGTGCAGTGTTTATGACATGTACAAAACCTGAATATATCCTATCAGAAACTTACGATTTCTCAAAAAAAAGCAGCTGTTTTCCATCTTAGAACCATGAAATTTTTCTCACGTCTATGTCTTGTGTGAATATGATTCTCACAGTATCTTGCCTTATATCCACTACAACTTGAAACAAACCAGTGCTGCGCGTATTGGATGTCAATGATGGTCGCAAAATAGATGCTAAATGCTAGATGCAAAATAATAAATACTTGTAAGCTTATGTCTATATTTATATTATTGCCAGGCTTAGGATATAACGGTCTCATTCACGAGAGGATTGGCTTCATTATGCCTATAGTCAACTATGTTTCAATTCTCAGAGCACATAAATTTCTATTTTTTCTAGTCAAACCTTATGAAGCCAACATCTTGTACTACTCTGATATCTACCAGATCCTCACAATTCACTAACAGACTACTCACCATCTTCCGTTCCAACTACTCCCATTGGTTGACTGACATGGTGGTGAACTTCTGATATAGAGGTACGGAAAGATAGCGTTGTACATGTTCCGTCCTTCAGGTTCCATAATCCTAAATTTACTTACAAAATTTTTGCAGAGGTAAAATAGTTGAATTTTTGTGATAGTGTACAGCAAAATTGCAGGGTATGCAATGTGCAATAGAAAAAGTGAAGTCAGGCCAACCAAAAATTTATACCTCCTGGATCACCCCTCAGTTCTTATATCCCCTATCATACGAAGGCAAAGTTATCATTAATGACATCCTTCATGAAGGTCACTCTCTGTGGGACGAAATTAAGGTAATCATCAATCAAAACTCTGACACCATCTAACTACCGTAATTTTTATTTCGCTTCTAGCATAGAGTGTTAGTGCAAAAACTCGCAAATTTGCATTGGCTCAATCTCAAGGCTTTTTCTTTTCTAAAATCGACCAGCCCAAACATGCCGAAGGATTTGGCGGCCAAAGGACCCTATATCGTGCGGCACAATACTCAAAAGACGGAATACAGCGAGAGGGCTGAGCTGCGCACATTGAAAAACGAGAAAGGTGCCCCTTGTATTAGGTTGTCCCAAAAGTAAACCGTATTTTTGCATAAATCAAACTGTTCTTGTTTTTCAGACAGACTTGGGGCACCATTCGATAGAGCGAAGCATCTACAAAACGACAACCAAAGAACTGTCTAATTCGCTATCAAGGTAAAATTTGGATCCAAAAATCAAAATTTTTCAGCTACCCTAAAAATCGGATCTCCTTCCAGAAAACTCCTACGGACTTCCAACTTGGTCCTTATATAGTGGACACATAGTAGTATCGGAAAATAATTTTGGTTGATTTCTTCCGGAGTTCAAAATTGAGAAACAAAGGGAATCCCAAAATGCCAAAATGCCACTTTTTCCGGGTTTTTTATGTAAAACTTCGTATTTCTCGAATATAAGAGCACATACAGGGGTAAAGTTTTGAAATTGTACTAAGTAAGGCTTGTAGTATACAATGTAGCACACATGTGGGAGGGGCTGGGGCGGAGTTTGCAATTTTTGGGCAATTTTTGTTTCTCGCTTTCTATGCTCGGAAAAAATTTGGCAAAAGCTTATTTGAGTACTACTATATGCCTACTGTATAATGACCAAGTTGGGGTCCGTAGGGTTTTTCTTCGCGAAAATCCAGTTTTCGGGTGAAAAATTTTTTTTTCCGATTTTGGCTTCAAACTTTACATGGAATGCGACTTGAGCGGACCCTTGGTGGTCATCTTGCAGAGCTTGCTTCGCTCTATCGAATGGTACCCCAAGTCTGCCAGGAAAACAAAAATAGTTTGATTTATTCGAAAATACGGTTTACTTTTGGGACAACCTAATACTTGTGAAATTTGGGTATCTCCGACTGATTTTTATGACATACGGCTGCTGTGTGCATATAGGAACAATTACCGCATAAAAAAGAAATCTAAAAGCAGCATACAGTTTTTCATTCTCCTTTTCAAGTGGGGGAATCTAGTGAATATTGTGATTTAAGCTAAGAATGAGCCTTCACTTGCTTCTTCTATATCGTCTGGTCCCTCTTGTCGACTTGGCGCTACACTATGAGTTTTCTTCAAAACATAATCAACGACTAACAAACATGTCACTGCTTTGACTTCCCTTTTGCCCCAAAAATACACAAAGGGGGCGAGATAAACGTTGTGTAAACAAAGTCAATACCTTCAGCTTTTTGAATGACCACTCTTACTCTGGGGAATTAAGCGGAAATCCTGTTAAAGAGCGCCAACATTTTTTCAAGGATAATTTTACAACTCTTCTTAATCTGACTTTCACCATTTTATTTGATTAGAGCCCCTTTATTGATAGACGAGCTGACAAGCCATTATGCTCTAAGCTCCTCTCTGCATATATTTTTGAAGCTACTAGGTCCAATCCATACCCATATCCGGTAGCGAAGACCTTACCGCTAGATAGATGAAATATGTGAGAGATTTGTTCAACTTTATACTTCACTTTCTAGCAAAAAATGGAGTTGAATGAGTGCTGTGTCCAAGTATTTAATAGCAGTTTCAAATTCCGCTAGTTCCTATAAGTGCGCAGAATCAAGTCTAGCAAAAGATGAGAAGTGTGATTACGTTGCGCATCAGCATTATTTCTATTTAAAAACTGGAAATCTCTAGACAAGAATTGCTTTTTTTCCTTTTGAGTAAACCGAGCAAGCGCACCAAAATATGTTGAAAAAGCTTCTTGAAGACCTTCGATTGTCAGAAGGTCAACAATATAGGGTCCTAACGAGCAAAACTTGGATGATGATGTTCGCGATATGTGCTCAATGACAAAAGCAAGGCAACAAAGTAACTGAGCGAACGCATTTAGTGATCTATAAGGATGACTGACTTACTACACCATCACCGTAGCCAGCCAGAAGCCGCTTGCCATCTGGAAGAATATGACCAGCAGTGCAAGGCGATCCATTTCCAGCATATACCTAGAACTCGAAAACTTCATCATACTGATTTCACAAGGCGGCAAATCTCTCACTTTAGATTGCGCTACTCCAGAAGGACCGATTAGCCACATCCATACTGTACCGTCTTTATCGCCAGCAAAAAGAATATCGGTGGTAGTATGCCAACACATCCATTCAAGATCGTTACAGTCATCAATCTGAACCTCACAATGTTAAAGTATTCAATGTAAGATTATTGCCGTTCTGTGCAAAAGGCAATCTATATGGGGTAGGGAAACGAACGCCGCCAGTTTGGACCGCCTCCGCGGACTACTGGTCCTGCAACGACATGCAACAATTTAGCAAAAAGACTAGTTGCCAGCGAAAATGGGCTCAAACTGGCGGAGTTCGTTCCTGTACCCATTTATAAGACTTCTGCGTGAAAATTGTTCCTAGAGGCTTAAATATGTCAACGCCCAAGTGTCACCCCCATAAAACTGATTTATGGCTGCAAAATGAAAGTGCGAGCTTTCGCCCAGTACTGTACTCTTCTGATCAAACTAATCAGGTTACGGTACCGTGCAAGAGTTTAGCGTCGCACTTTTCGACCGTCACTATATGAGCGATCGCTTGGACAACGGCTTAGTTAAGGTCATCCAGTCATTATCCACACACTCGGTACCCAAATAAACTTGCTGGGCAGTGCCTTCAAAAAGAACTACCCTACCTTAGCTCGAGGTTGTAAATCTCCAAGTTGAGTGATTACAATATGCCCGGACATATCGCCAGTTGACAGTAATGTTTGCGCATTGTTGAAGGTGACGCTAGTTACAGAGTCTCTGTGGTCGATTTTTAGAACTGGATCAGAGTCTGGAAAATTTTTTGATAATCAATTAATCCGCCATACTACTCTCGACAAAACAGAAGTATTTACCAGAGACTTGGTAATCCCATAAATATGCGACATCATCTTCACCGCCAGACGCTAGCCATCGCTCGTCAGCAATAGCGACTGCAAAACAATCTTGTTCGTGCGCTTGTAAAGCAACTGAAGAATCGTCAGCCACTTCTCTAGTGTCCGCATCGGATACGCTAAAAAGCTCATCCAATCCATAGTACACAAGTGGAGAACATTTCAATGATCATAAAGCATCTGTTACGGCGGCAGCAATGGATTGAATAAAATGGTTCAACTTCACAAATGAATGGTCAATATGAAGCAGCGTATAGGCAACTCGGGTACTTGGACTTTTTAAGTGAGCAAAGATTGGAAAGTCTTAATCGAACGATTGCCAGCCAAACGGCACCTCATATTAATTATTTGCCACCGAGAATTTTGGCTATGATATTTCGACCCGTACCGTACTTTCCATGACAGCGCACCAGATGCACTCCAGAAAATTATTAAGCATGCTTCTCTGAATTTTTGCAGACTCAACCCTTAAAATCTAGAAAAAGAAGACGGCGGCAGCCACGCCCCAAAAAAAATTTTTTTTGTAAGGTCAAATCGAATTTTTGAAAGGTTTAAAATAATTTCAATGATTCACAAGTGTAAATAAGTCACTTGCATATTTTTATAACTCATGTAAGTGAATTTCACAAATTTCGTGACCCATTTTCGGAGGGGGGGGGGCACTGCCAGACAGCATCCAAGAACTATATTTCCGAGAGTTCAGAGCCGAATTTCTCGGCCATGAATTTCAGCTTATTAAGACCTTTGAAGCCTCACAAATAGTTTGCACACAGGAAATTTAACTACTCGCATTTTCCTGGACAGTGTCTATAAAAAAAGTCTATGGGGTGTTTCATCACAACAATTGACGAACAAGCAGATAAGGTCTAACATTAAGAATGGCGGCAGCGGCCAAGTATGAGGAATCAGCTAGAAACTGAAAGTGGACTAATAGGTCTAGATCCGATAGTAGAACAGCTATCGTCTAGAAAAACTAGAAGCACAGCCTACAGTAATCAATGTTTTAAGAAGGACAGAACCGCCGTCTGATAGTTAAGAACAGAAATCGGAATGAAATCCAAATAAAAGCGATTTCACAAAATCTACTGACAGTCAATGAACGGAGGACAAACAGTTGAACAATCAAAATCGTTTTTGTAAAACACGAATTTTAGCAGTTGTTTCAACAGCTGCAACACAGGCTTTGTCCTGACTAGCATAGTCCAGTCTAGTATCACTAAAACACGACTCCCACATGAAATCTGCGGATTGGCCAACAACGAAATGTGTTTCTCTATAAGTGACAAGGAGTTATAATTTGCGAGTTCGCAGTCACAAAAAGTACCATTACGTCAGTGAGAGATAAGATAAAGAACAAATCACTCTCATAAAGTTTCGCGATGCATTCCAGTAAAAAAGCGTATTCAAAACTTTATCTGGATGTATCGCCTGCGCCCTCTAAAAAGATACCAGGTCTCTCAGTGATAAGCCATATGAGTGCCACTAGCTATATAAGATACCTACAATAACCGAATACTTTTTCGACACGAGTGCGACATGATTTAGATGCGTAAAATCGAGAAAAGTAGATGAAAGGCAGCAGGATAAAAAAGAAACAGATTACGTAACTAACATGCGTTCACCCAGGTCTTTCGATTTTTTACCCAAATCTGAATGAGCGCTCTTACAAAGAGCAACTGGCAAGATAGTTAAGAATGCATTCGATGTAGCTTATCGTTAGTTACAGTTTCTAACAATCAGTTGGAGGAAATTTGCTCAACCCTCAAATGAATTATTTACAATGTTTCATTTTCTATCAACTTCGGTCCCAGTTTTCTTACTTTACTGATAAATTTGATGGCGAAGTTTCAGCTTTGCGAAGCATCGTTTCGAATTTATGAATTTTCATAATTTATTAATTTTCATATTTTCATATATATATTTATTATGAATTTTCATTGGTTGGAGTTACATAATCGACGATAATCGAAAATGATTCCAAGATTCACCAAAAGTCTACAAAGAATTTGTTTTTTTTTATTGTACATCTTTGCATCCAAACGAATTACATGTGATTTTTTTTGTGGTCCTGTGACACTGACGTAGCTACAATAAAACAGAAACGATTTATCAGTGGTCAATTTCAGAACCATTCGCTAAACTTTGCAAGCTACTCAAAACATCAATGAGAAGCATCAAATTCTTTGCAGCACTATGAGTTTTTTATAATCCATCTATTCTGAGGTAATGAAACAGAATAAAGAGAAAAAATAAAATAGAAGCCGATCCAGCACAAAAAAAATGAAGCCTTCAAGAAAAATGCTGAGTGAGGAAATCCCTCTGCTCTAACAAAATCTATGATGGACAAAATTAAGATCGCGTACCCCAGATAAGTTCAGTCGTATTTTGAAACAGTACTTATCGAAAGAAACAAGCATTATCTCAAGACCGCGTCAGCCGCTCCATGGTGATAACACATTATCCTAGATTGCCAAGTAAACTAAAGATTTCGCAACTTATCATGCTCAGTGTGACTATGATAAGCTAGCGCAGAACTAGATTCTGATTTCCCCTACACATGAATGGGTCATGGCATCAGTCAGAAGAAAGCTATGTGCACAATGCTGACCAAATGGAGGATTCAGCCGGTAACGAACCGCATTCGCAGAGGACGCTAGAGACCCTATTCAAATGTGATGAAAGACGCAAAATGACGAAACTCGTCGGGTTGCTTTAGAATGTCGGAAGCCTCTTCAATCCTTGAAGATGTTTGAGCGTTACAACAAAAGAGAAACGCTTTCGTGTACATATTGCTTTACGGTTCATGAGCTGAGATTATAATAAACAAAACGTACTTTGAAGTACTCTGTTGATCTTCATCATCGCTACTAACATGATCATCAGCTGGTCCAGTGAGAGTATCACAGTCGATCACCTAGAAAAAATATCATCAAAGTATTTACTACTAACGATAAGATTCAGATAATACATCCATGTTTGGAAAAAGAAAACTTCTACAAATTATGTGGTGAAAAAACAGCCGCACCTGATTATGCCATTTAGAGACTAACTGTTTTCTCAAGCTACAAGGGAATATTGAGCTCTAACAAACGAAAAATAGAAGGAACAAACACAGTATTGACCCCTTCAAAAATAGCAGATATAAGTGACGCACACTATGCATTTCTCTAAGACTAAACGCACATTTTTTCAGAGAAGGTTAAAAACTCGCGTCTAGACTGTACCAAAAAAGGGAACGAAGATTACTTTAGACAACAAGTGGGATAACTATTCCAACAAATTAACTGCTAACGCAATCCATCGGTGTCTCACGCCGCTATTTTTTTTCAATGTCATTTTACCGCTTAATTTGCAGAAAAGATGGGCAATTCTACAAACTTTTCTAGCATCCATGCCAGTAAAAAAAAAGCACCCCTTATAGTGAGTGAAAATATATGATTTTAAGCCGCAAAATATTACTATGTCAGTGGGCTCAGCATTTTCGCGTTCCCTTCTTGATTGTACTGACCCTCAATGTTTTACTAAACGAATATAACCTGCTCTATATCCCTTTCAGTATCGTCCATTTCTTCCATTTCCATGCGGGAAGTATCATCATCTCGTCGTGAACTAGCCATATAAGCTTCCTCTAAAATCCCAAGTTAGAAGAATAAATTTAAAGATCACATTAATCCGCAAAGAATTGGATGTCAGAAAAGGAAGCGGACAGCCGAGAGAACAAGGAACCATTTGTGCGATGGCTGCAGATACATACTTGCAAAAAAAAACCATGCTTTGGAAGAATTTTGTGAAAGAGAATGATTACAAAAAACGTTGATTTTGATGACCGGAGGATAACGTAAGCAATAATCTGTGCGATGTGACTTCAGGCGCACGATCGTCGGATACAAATTTGTAAAAGGCTTACTTTTAAGCCGTACAAAAAGAATCATGAGATCAAAGATTTTAAGTTGTTTCTCACGTTGCGGATGAACATCGTGAAGCTTGTCGAAGTATGGGAATCTTCAAACTTCAAAAAGATTTCATCTACTACCTCATTCTAAAAAAATATTCATGAATTTTTGAGTTTATTGCATTTCAAGCTTCGCACTGCATATTGTCCAGATCATGTCAAACGCAGCAGTTGTAAGAATATATGTACAACAGGGCACAACACAATAAATTCAATCACCATAATTCTATATCTCATATAGATACACCCCTGACTACTCGGAACTGCTTTTGACAAGATGTACAGGAATATGTACCAAGCTCATTAGCAGTGTATCAGAGAAAAAGCACATGACCTAGAACGATGTGATCTTTCAAATTAGTTCCACTGTATAATCAATGACGATAATTATGATACACATGGAGAAGCCCTTATAAGTGACTAGCTGGCTTACCCGGCTCCGCCGTATCCGGACCAAACTTGGCACACATACACTTCGGGCCCCGGCGGGTGTCACAGTCCACTTTTCGTTATCGATCGATGTCGATTTTACCGATTTTTATCGATTTTTTTGCAGAGTTCACCTACAGGGCTAGGAGTTGGCACAGGGGGGGGGAAGTGAGCATGGGGATTCCGAATACAATATTAGTTTTCAGAATTATCGATTACTTTTATTGATTTTATCGATTTTTTGTAAATTTTGACATGCGAGGCTGGGATTTTGCACAGGGGGGTAATCGAGCATGCTGATTACGAACACAATATTAGTTTTCAGGATCGTCCATTACTTTTATCGATTTTATCGATTTTTTGAAAATTTGAGCTAGGGGGCTGGAATTTGGCACAGGGGTGTAATCGAGCATGCTGATCACCCCCCTTGGGGATGATCAGCATGCTCGATTACCCCCCTGTGCGAACTCCCAGCCCCGTAGCTCAAACTTTGCAAAAAATCGATGAAATCGATAAAAGTAATCGATAATCCTGAAAACCAATATTGTATTCGGAATCAGCATGCTCGATTACCCCCCTGTGCCAACTCCCAGCCCCGTAGGTGAACTCAGCAAAAAAATCGATAAAAATCGATAAAATCGATATCGATCGATGACGAAAAGTAGCCTATGACACCCGCCGGGGCCCGTAGTGTATGTGTGCCAAGTTTGGTCCGGATCGGTTCAGAAATGGAATTTTCTATTCGGAACATACGTACAGACAGACAGACATACAGACAGACAGACAGACATACATACAAACAGACATTCAGCTTTATATATAAGATTATAGTTACTAGTTATTACAAAATCATTACTAGCTAGGAGACTACTCAATACTTCCTCACTGCGGCGTGACAAGTCAAAACAAGAAGTCGCTTGTTGCAATGCATTTTGAACCTGTCAGCGGCGCTCTTTAGCAAAGTTCATTTTCCCATTATTAAGCCTTCGCGCTGGTGATTTCAAAGCAGGTAAATCAAATCCTAGTCTTCATCAAAAATTGAAGCAACTCTTGCGAAGTCAAGAAAATAGTGTACCTCATCAACAATCTCAAAAAGACTTACAAAGTGGAGTAGATTGTCTGGCTAATGTGTGCAACACAACATTTTACAGGGAAGTCCCGAATATGATTACTTTTTTCTTCTTTTGAGGTTTTCTCAGCTAAAGGGCAGTACTATTTGAGAAAACGTGGGTGAATAAAGGCGCGTACTCCCTAGGTGAGATGACTATGGGAATGTGCACCTGCACCATTAGCAAGAAATCACATTAACGTAATCGATATGTACCTAAAAACATCTTGTGAGACTTAGATGGGTAATTTTGAACTAATGTTTGTTTTTAGAATAAACAATAGGCAATAAATCCAAACTATGCACAACAGAACGAGGTCGAAGGGGGGGGGGGGAGGCAGCTTTTCTTTGTATCAACACTAATGCACAATTAGCGAAGGGTAACTCGTACTTTCTACCAATTTTAGCTTGCACAGCTTTGCGAGGAAACTTACGCTTGGACAGATAGTGGGCTAAAATTCCTTTTTTCCAAAACAAATCCTATTCGCTCGTCGAAACATCAAAAAAATAAAATGTCAATGTAGATTGAATGTGAAATAGTGAACAATGCAAAAGAGCCATCAGAATCCAAATTGAGAGAGGACAACTATCTGAAAAGAATTTGTTAAACAAGCTGAGCATAGCAGACACTTGTGTCCCATTTCTGTTAAAAGGGATCAATAAAGGCGTATAGACATCATCAAATTAAGCGAAAATGAAAGCAAGATAACACAAAATCATCTCTTGATACTATTCACCTAAAGTCTCTTATTTCCGCGAAAATCCATTATGAAACTGTTTTAACTGCAGAGAACGCTAAACATGCAAAACAATTCACCATATCAATTCCTCCATTCTCTTCATGCGCAAAACCTCCGACGTGAAAGCTACCAAACTTCTCTAAATTTCTGAATAAACACTGCCGTTTCGTTCCTTATCTTTCAAAACTTCTTATCTTATCACAATTACCGAGGTAAGCAACGTGGTGAAAAGAGGTTTATACCTGAATAAGCTACCGCGGCTAGATTATAGAAAAAAAAAAGCCATGTGAGATAGAATTCACCATGCACGGTGTTCGGATGAGCGTGCAGCAACCTTTTCGACCTAATTTTGAAGGAAAAATCTAAAAACCTTTGCTAATTGTGCGTTTGACCTAAGGAATGAGATCTCTCATCTTTCCGATGGTAAATCAATGGGGAGCAGGGAGAGATGTGCTGATATTTGATGCACACAGTTCAGAAGCTTAAGAGCCTCAATACAACCAGTTCCGGTTCAGGGTTTACAGCAGAATAGACTCGTTTGCTTCTTCTTATGTGAATCAAAAAACGATTCGCGAATACTTCTTGGGCATGGCTTTCAATAACAATAGAAGCCATCACCAGCGGGAACAAAAAGAAAGCATTGAAAAAAGGGCGCAAACGAGGCCTCAGCTGAGTGCAGCGTGCAATCAACACGGACCCTCGACGAAGTCCGATCCAAATCCGGAAGCTAGGACGCATTTTAAAAGCAGCGTCCGGGCAGATACGAAGATGTAGAGTACGGGGGTGCCCGTCCTGGGTAAGGTCTTGCCCAACTGGCAATGCACCAATTTGTTTCTGGAGCGAGAAATCCACTTCAGAAGTGGCGACCGGGACGAGTTAGTTCGATAAACCAGAGTGCGTATACCGCACACAGTCAAGACGCAGGGTCTTACAAAGACTCTGCGTCTTAACCTTGGCGGCAGGCGACAAAATCCAAATCAAGAGCTTCTGGAAAAGCCCGCTTTCGGCGTTTTCTCAGAATCAGCGGGAGAAATAAGACCAGGTGAGAGAAAAAAATTCTATTCCAAATTTTGCCCGAACGCTGCCTTTAAGACAACAAGACCACACAGGAAAGGTTGAAACTGAGTGGTTTCACGGCGCTTACAGATACGTTCTTTCGGAATACAGTGGGAAGCAGATGGAACTAGCCAAGTCCAGTAGTACATCCAAGTATCAAATATGTTTTGATACTATTATATTTGGATATCAGATTAAGTGAAGGCCCTTTTAACTTTACCAAATCAGCTAGAAGAGACAGAGTTTGAATCAGCATTACCAATCGTTCTTAAATTGGAAAAAAACTGAGAAATTTCCAGATCTTGTTGAACAAAAACAACTAAACGACTTTCAACGTGATACTAAGCTTCTTGAGAACAAAAATTTAAAAAGTTTGATATTCTCAAGCGGACAACATATACGTAAGGGATTCAAAGACATTTTAAAGAAGCAATTTGACTTCATAACATGATTTTTATGAAAAACCTCTGCCTTGTTGAGAGATTCCAAAAAAATTGTACCAGGGAACCGAACACAACTGCTACTCGCACACCAAAATTTCATTATTCAAAAAAATATAAAGCTTCACTGGAGCTAAACCTGTGATGAAAAAGATATCTGTAAATCTGTGGCAGGAATATAATGAAATAAGATAACTGAATTACAATGTGAAAAGGAAAACAATAATGTATCTGAATGCGCGTACCTAACCAAAAAGCGATGATTAGATTATTGATAACACCAGTAGGAGGGCGTTGCGTCCAATCTAAAATCAGTAGAATTATAGAATTGAATTTCTTGGGTACACTCTAATGCCTTGAACAATAATAGTCAAATTATTAGTCGTCATTATTTCTTCCCATATTCTCTAGCTATTGGAGTTTTTTATTCAATGCACGTATTTAGGAGAGGGAACGGTGGCACTCCCTTTCACCCTCCAAACATCCGAGTGCCCCTCCCACATGGTAAGTTCATTTTCACTAGTCTACATAAGGAATAGAAGATTCTTCTTGTGGGCTAGATTTCGTCTTTTACCGTTTCTGCCTTTATTACAAACAATGAAAATGAATATTAACAAATTTTATCTGCATGCATGATACCATGACCTAATGAATCGAGCATTTTCAATATTGAGAGGAAGAGAGGGGATGGCTTAATGGTCATAACCTATAATCGTCTATGGGAATAGCGCTATTGAAGTACTGCCTAATTTTTTTGTTTATGCACCAAGTGACGTCCAGAAACAGAGATGAACCGTGGACTATCCCCATGAATCGAAGCACTAGCCTTCAGCTATCCGCGGAAATTTTTTCCTTTCCATATGGTTCTCCCGTGGATAACCTCGCGTAATTAAGTAGAGTACAAATCACGCGAATTAAATTCAAATTCAGGTCTCATCGCTTGATTTTGCAAAAAGCTCATATCCACATGTGCTTTCCTAAAGTTCCGAACCGGGGGTTTCCTATCTAAACTATACTCGCCAAATCTCTGCAATACATCAGTATCTTATTGTGGGAGCAAGATAGAACTAGACTCACTATCACTCACGGATATCCACCTACTATGTTATACTCTGCTGCACCGCAGTGACTGCCTGTGATTACCAAAATCGGCTAAACAGGGTAGAGGACTATTGAGGTGTTAGACGCCTACCCTGTTAACTTAGTCTGGCCATTTGAAAAATCACACAATATTCGGAGTTAGTCCTGAAATGCTGAGCTCAAATATGTTGCTCCTGGCTGCGAAGCATTATTCCAAAATAAGCATTATTCCGTTTTTTAGCAAAATTTGGTGCTTGGCGGCTTGCTGATGTTACGATAACAACTCTGAATGGTTATGCAATTGAATAATTCCCTATCAGCATCAAAAACTTATATGATGTTATTTCAATATCCTACCACTTTTTTGGCTGTCCATTCGAGATTTCGGCTATCATAACTTACCAGTGCTTCACCTCTGCTTCGCAGAGGTTCGCACTGGCACCGTGAACCGTGGTAAACTCACTTTCTGAGAGCTCTCGAATCATAGTTCGGTTTATTGCAACGTGAGCCTTAGTTAAAAATGAACCATACTCGCTATCTCAACCTCACATGATGTTTAGTATCGTAAATCATTCCTCACTGTAATTTCGTAACGGACAAACTCCACACAACTTCAGATTAAGCCGCTTATTATAAGTCATGATATTCAACAACAAAGAAATCAAAACTGAATTACATAAATGCAGCGTACCAAAGAAGGGCTCATTAAGTGAGAAATTGCGATGACACAGGTCGGATAAAGAAAGCGAAATTTAGAGACGACAAACAGAGGTTGTGCATGATCGAAAAGTCAGAAAAAGAATCGTTCATTCCTTTGCGAAGAAATCAAAACTCCCGTTCTCATATACTCAGTAATCGAAGTGATGAAGAAAACACACAAGTACAAAAGCTACAAACTTATTCTACTCTCCACTCAGTATGTCAAAGCTACAAGTGCTAGGCGTAACAATTATAAGAAATCCAAGAAACGAGTTGAGAGTGAATGAAAGTCCTTGATAAGCGGACATGACGAATGACGTGCGTGACCGAGGTAAAAATGAGTACTACAAAGAGTGAAAACCAAATAATAAATATAGCTGGCTGCTCATACGATGATACTAATTTGGAAGATATGTGTGACCCTACAGACTTAATAGAAAACAAGGTTCGATAAGAAAAAGAAAACGAATAAAAATATGAAAAATGACATAAGAAAAGCAAAGCTAAGCGAGTTTGTGGACATGCCATTGAAAGCAAACATGAGAAACATGACCTCGTCCCCCATAAAGATGTCACGAAATTAACGCGGAATCAAAGAGGCAAGTGATGCGTAACATGATAATCAAAGCCATGGTGACGAGGCTGAATAAAATGGATTTCGGCAACCCAACAGAGATAAAAACCATCACAGTAGACCTTGATGAGCTTATGGCAAGGATGATTCAATAACTTACAAGATATCGATCTACTTTGAAAAAAGAATTTTTTTTGCTTCATGATGAACAAAAAACTTTCTTATGGTTCCGAAAGTGTATTCATACAATGTTTCTACAACAAAAAAGTATTGTGCATCCGATGAAATACAGGGTGTCCCAAAAGTATGTAT